TCCAGCCACGGTATTACAATGCCTGATACGGCATACCGCCCGCAATGCAACGCCATTATAGCTGCGGAAAAAGCGCGCGTAAGATGACGCTGATACTCTACAGACGCCCGCAGGAGGAAAAGCAGCGGAATCAACAAACACCCGGAGCGCTTTACCCGCGCTGCGGCGCGGTGATATTCCGATGGAATTTTGACAAAAAGTACGCGCGCGGTATACGCGAGCGTCGAGACGCTCTTTTACTCGGGGTTGCAGTTAGACCGCGACGAATAATACAGGCTGTGCCAGCAGCTATCAACTCAAATGAAAAGGTATAGTATAACGTTTTCCCCCGCGAAAGCGGCTTGTATTATCCCGAAGTCGCTCGCAAAATACCGTGTTTTCTTTTGTCCGTTTTCAGAGTGCAATTTCTGTGAAAATAAAAAAAGAAAAGATTGCAGCCATTTCGTTAAATTTTTTATACGCCTTGCATGACTTTGCTAAAATTGACTCCTAAACGCTGAGGATTTGATTGTAAAAACCATCACTTTATCTGGTAAATTATTCACTTATTCTGGTAAATTTTTTATGCGTCCCGCGCAATTTTGCGAAACCAAATAGTTCAAAGCTGACAAAAATCTAAAAACGCAACATCGTACAGAATTGGTCTCTAAACGTCGAAAATTCGAGCATAATAATCATTTTGTATTTTATAAATTTCTAATGTTATTTATTTCTAATATTATTTATTTCTAATATTATATATTTCGCATGATTTTTCAAAACTAAATGCTCCAAAATCGCGCAGAAGGGGACGTTACGCAGCATTGGCCTTCAAATACCGAAAATTCGATGATGATAATCATCATTTTATGTTTAATAAATTTATGTTTCTTATGTTTCGCGTGATTTTACAAAATTAAATGCCAGCGCAGAATTCACTCTCAAACACTCAAAACTCAATTATAATAATCACTATTTTATTTTTTATAAATTTCTTATGTATTTCGCATGATTTTGCGAAACTGAATGGTCCGCGCAAAAGATATCAAATAACGTAATGTTGCGTTGAATTCGCTCCCAAACGCCGAAAATTCGATTACAATAATCATCATTTTGTTTTTGATAAATTTTGGAAGCGTCTCGCGTAGTTTTTGCGAAACCGAGTAGCTAGAAACCGCGCCAAAAATATCAGCGATCGCGAGGTCGCGCGAAATTCGCCCCCAAACGCCGAAAATTCGCCTAAAACAATTATCATTCATGTGGCAGCCGTTTAGATAGCGTGCCTGCGCCCTCGTGAAACGCAACAACGGCGGTTGGCGGTAATGTCACGATTCAGAAGTCATTTGCAAGTTCGAAACTAGCTTAACGCCTACATACTTAAGCCCGCCCGCCACTTGCGCCGTAATTTTATATTAAATCGGATTTAATGTGGCGAATATAAACATGCCTCGCGTTCAATTTCGTATTTACCAGCGGTGCCGCTCGCACTCCCCGTCGCTAATTGAGTTTTAATTGCTAACGGCGTGGGGAACGCCCGCTATTATAACCGCTTTTTAATATCGCGGCGGACGCGACGATGGCCGTGAGCGAGGAAGCGGAATGTGCTTCAATTGTGTGTGAGCGTTGTCGTAGCTACGTAAGAATGCTGCAAACGCGACTGATTGCGCTGAGCCCGAGTTAATTTGCGATCCCTTTCGCATCGAGAAACGGTCGGTGCACCGCGCGCACGTCACTCCCCCCGTGACCCACTTCCATGGCCGAAATGCAACTAAAATGGCTATTACGGGGACAGCCTCCCTCGTTTCGGACAAATGCGAAAAGTGCAGTTGCACTTTTCACCCCGACGCGCGTGTATTACGCGTGGGAATCGTTGATTTTGCATAATCCAACAGCTGCACAAAGGGGAGCGCGGTCCACACGCAATTTTCTAAAATACATGCCCGACGTAAATGCAGATGACGTCAGCGTCTTCATATAACTCCATCGTGAAACTTGGAAAATAGCTGCAGGCGGGACTTATGAAATACCTCGCGGCGTCGTATTACCGTGTAATGCAGTAAGCAGGAGTTTTGCATCTGAGGAGAATGCGGCACTATGGTGTAGTGAAATAAGGAGCGGTTGCGGCTGGAAAGAAAGGGGGGAGAGAGAAAGAGAGAATAAGAGAATGTCGTGGCTGGAGGGTGACGCGCAAGCCGAGGGTTAAGCCGAAGAAACCGTGGAAAAATTGCGCGATGTCGACGCGCGACGACACCATTAAGATCGCGCAAATTGCGAACAAAGTCGCGTGGAGCGCACCTACACTCGTGCACGTCTCTTTTAAAGAAGGGACCCCGCACGCTTATTTTGCCGTCGTTCTAAAGTTAATCTCGCGAGTCGTCGTGGGACAAAAGCTACGAGACTCTCGACGCTCTCGCGACGACCCGTCGCCGTCCGTTATTTTCCAGGTCATGGCGGTGCTGCCTGTGACAAACATTTTTGTGCTGCGAAATGAGACCGAATGGGGGTGCTTGTTTAAAGTTCGACCATTCGTACCTGGGAAAAGGGTGGCGGCTTTTTACCAGGCCGCGTGCCGCGATCGTGACTGCCGGGATTAACAATGGTCTACAACAGCCGCGTGTTTCCAGTCTGTCACGATTAAAAACTCTAATCCTGTATCCGAGGGAAAGAACGAGAGAGAAGAAACTCTCATTATGTCGTAGAACATAATCCTTTGTGAGAGAGCGAGATGGGGGAGGAGAAAGATGGAGAAAAAGAGTAAGGTACGCGGGTGGAAAATTTACGATGTATGCGCACAGTGTAATAATCAGACGGGAGAATTGTTCAAGACAATTGGCTGAACAAAGAAGAGATTCGTCTGAAGAAAATCACCTTCAAGAACCTCAAGAGCTCTAAAGAGTATGAAATGATCTTAACTGAATATCCACATACACTGAGAAAAAATTTGGTATCTATAACTATATATAAGAAAAATAATCACTATAAACGATGGTCAAAAAACCTCAAAATACTTTTTTATTAAATCCTACTATGATGTTAGTGATAATAACTTTATATGCATGTTACTACCATTTTCATACTACCATTAGAACAATCAAAGAATATAATTAAAATTAACAATAGTTTTAGTTGAATCAACTATTTTTTTCTCAATGTACAACCTTATTCTATCCAATATCTATTCTATACTAATATCTAACGATATTAGAAGCCGGCGCGAAAACTTGACTGATTGAGTTAAAAATCATACATTTTTGTATTATTTATCTTTCTAATTATACAGGATAAGTCAGTAACTATTGCCACTTTGAATATCTTCAAAACGAGGAATAAAGGACTTCTTATAGTGGACTTCTTATAATGGTTACACTCTTTTTCCAGGAGATGTAACTTCGAAGATCTTAAAGTCACCTTTGTTTTTTGCTTCGAAGATATTCAAGGCGGCAATAGTTATTGACTCACCCTGTATAGTTAGTCATCTACCTAATTCGTATTTTTTGCGTCGACTTCTAATATTGAGTCAGAATTATTTCATACTTTTTAGGTCTCTTGAGATTTTTGGTCGCGATTTATTTCTGTTAAAGAAAAAGTTTTATTTCGTATATTATTTACTAAAAGTTCGAAACCGCTTAAGGAAAGTTTTTTTCGTTCTCTGAAGTCGGTTAAATAGAAAAGTTTCGTCTCGAGCATCTTATTATTAAATACTCTCAGATTTCCAAGAAAGTAATTGAATTTTTAAAGAAGGAATATTCAATTTCTCCGGATCACCCGTACAAACCCAGACAAACAAATAAAGGCACCAATAAAAGACCCATGTAAAATACACTGAAAAAAGTAAATAAAATTATAATTATTTTTTGCCCCAACCATATTTTTCATAGTAAAATAATAATAATAACACATATATATATATATATATATATATATAAGATTATTATCACTAACATTATAGTAAAATTTAAAAGAAAAATAGTTTTCTCTTATAACTGACCATGATTTATATTAATTACTTCTCTATGTGATCATAGTTACAAATACCAAACATTTTTTTCTCAGTATATCATATTGAATATGAAAAATTTTGTCGCAATATCTCTGACGATTTCCAACTTATGACGAAACATACAAGCAAAAAACCATACAGGACAAATTGAGAATCCTTTTTTTTTTAAATCGATCATGAACTATCGTTTGCCTGCAGACTTACCGTGAGTTGGTAGAAGCAAGATGATAAGTCTGATAAGCCTCCTTACCGCATTCTCCATTAGCCCTCTAAGGATTTTGACTACGCCAGTGCGGCACAATTCGGCGATTGGTGACTAAATAAATACAGATGGTTCTCAGAGGGCAATTATTTTAAGTAAACCCTCGGTCCTGCTCTTCGAAAATGGGGTAGTCCGATAGTTGGGAGTATATGCTGGTAGTTCTCCCGGTACAGAGAGGTTTGTCGTAATTCGACCGTGTCTAATCGCGTCCATCGCGGGTCGTTGCTTAGAAAATATCAGGCTGAAAAAGAGAAATGTCGGGCGAAGCTCTTTTATATGTCCAGAGCAACCGATTGCTAACCCGTCGCGTTAACTAATCCTTTCACAAAATTATGCCTCGGCTCGTTTTCGCGGGATGTGGGTGAGATTTACGATTACAACAAATGGTGGAGAGAGAATGTACAGTAGCGGGAAATTCCGGCGAAGCGGCGCAATCTCTTAATCTTGAGAAAAGAAGAGAATCTTAGGTAATGTTTCTTTAAAACGTATACGACCACCTCGTGCGGTTGTCGTCAGTTTGCCGGAGACAAGAGGATAAAGAGAAGGGGACGGGACAATTTTTCGAAGCGTCCTTTCGCTTCGCGCACAACTCTCCCCGATTCATTTTTCCGCACTGCAGCGCAATGCAGCCCGGGCAAGTGCGGCGGAGAGGACGCTATTCGTCGGCGGATAAAAAGAAGCTGGCTCGTGTGATACGGCCTCGCACAGTTTGCACCTGAATCGACACTAACGAGTCACGTTTTCGTTTTCTCGTTGCAGTTGGCGGCCAAAGCGGACGGGAAGGGATATTACCAGCGGCAGCTCCGGTAAGTAGAATCTTAATCGTTATTGACCTACTCCCCCGGGTAAAGATCGAGGCAATACCGTTCTCGCAACCGTTTGAGCGCCGCTGATACTCCGCCGTTCAACGATATCCTGAAATATCGTTGGCTAATTCTCTAAGTAGATCACCGACTTGGTTACGACGCTCGTTATTTGAATTTTTATTCCCACAGGCCGCACTTTGTCAAAGCAGAAAATAAATTACGCACAATTTCGAGCACTCGCGATTTCACCGGCATTGCCGCGTCTTTTGTTCTTCTTCTCATTAACAAAAGTAATTTTCTTTCTCCTCTGAGCGATGGTGATATTCCAGCAATATCGCTGAATAAAATTCTTGGAGACCCGTGTTAATAGTTATTACTTTAAACTCAAGTGAAATATTCAGATTTAAATTCAGAATTATAGATGAGAGATTTTCTGTCGGATTGCGATACTACAGATACATAAATGTATCATACTTCAACTTAAAAACTTGAATAGAATCCTAAATATCTAATGTGAGATAAGTTTCAAGTGATAACTATTAACAGGGGTCTAAATAAATCATCGAACATTTGTGACTCGTTATCTGAATTTTTATTCCCACAGCCCGCATGTTTATCAAAGCAGAAAATAAATTACGCACAATTTCGAGCACTCGTGATTTCACCGGCATTGCCGCGTCTTTTGTTCTTCTTTTCATTAACAAAAGTAATTTTATTTCTCCTCTGAGCGATGGTGATATTCCAGCAATATTGCTGAATAAAATTTTTTAAGACCCGTATTAATAGTTATTACTTCAAACTCAAGTGAAATATTCAGATTTAGATTCAGAATTAGATGAGAGTTTTTCTGTCGGATTGCGATATTACAGAGATATAAATTCAACTTAAAAATTTGAATATAACTCTAAATATCTGATATGAGACAAGTTTCAAGTGATAATTATTAACACGGGTCTAAATAAATCACCGAACACTTGTGGCTTGTTATTTGAATTTTTATTCTCACGTTTCGCACTTTGTCACAAAGTAGGAAATGAAATATGCACAATTTGGAGCACTCGTGATTTAACCGACATTTTGCCGGGTCACACATTGCCGCGGATTTTGTTGAACATTTATCTTTATCAACGTCTAGCAAAAGTAATGTCGTTGACGTCTGAGCGATGATGATACTCAATTCTTCAGAAATATCCTGAAATATCTCTGAATAATTCTCTAAGGCTCGTATTAATAGTTATTACTTCAAACTTAAATGGCATATTCAGATTTAAATGCAGAGTTAGATGAGAATCTTTCAACTGGATATCGCGGTTACAAATGCATGTTTTATAAAAATGCTTCAAATAAAAAGATTAAACCTAATTCTAAATTCAGACCTGAGTGTGATTTTTCTCACACGTGGGAAAAATAACGCGTTTTAAGACTATTAATACAGATCTGAATACGTTGCATGTGAGATGAGTGATATTCATTAATAAGTCTAAGTAGATAGTCGAGCACTTGATGTGGACGCTCGTTTTGTTCTCAGAGTCCACGCTTTATCAAGAAAGAAAATGGGATTTAGAGCACAATTTAGAGCACTCGCGATTTAACTGGCATTTTACCGGGTCTCGTTAAACGTTGATTTCAATTAGCGTCTAACAAAGCAGTATTCTTCTCGGTCGTCTGAGTGATATTCGACCATTCAGCGATATCTTAAAATATCGCGGGATAATCCTCTAAGTAGATTAGGTTCTTGGTCGACGGTCGTTACTTGAATTTTTATTCTCAGAGTTCACACTTCACAAAAAAGGAAATAAAATACACACGATCTCGAGCAGCTGCGTTTCGACCAGCCCCATCGTCGGGTTTTGTTAGACGTTAATTTTTATCGACAAGCCTCCCGTATATTTTTACCCGCGTTGTTCGCGAAGCGATTATTATTCAGTCGGATCTGCGTGGGATTAAAGTTCAGAGCGGCAAAACTCGAATCGTAGAATGCAACATTTCCTGTTACAGGAACTTACTACTTTAAGGACAGCGGTAAACGCGACAAAGGATAATAGTGACGATATCGCGCGAATAGGAATTCCCGAGTTCGCTGAGAAGGATGAAAATGACAAAATCGATGCAGGTGAGATAGATGACAACGACGGAGAGGAGGAGGAGGAAGAGGGAAAAGAAGAGAAAAAAAAAGAGAAAGAGAAAAAGGAGGAAGAAGAGGAGGACGAGGAAGAGGAAGAAGAAGAAGAAGAAGAAGGAGAAGGAGAGGAGGAAGAAGAAGAATACGAGGGCGAGGATGATAACGAGGACGAGTATGAGGACGAACTGAAGGCGATCGCGGAGTCCCACGAAGCGATGTCGAAGGACGAGGCGAGGAACTCGAACGCATCCTCCGCCGGCGGCGAGCGAGCAGAGACGAAATTGTCGAGTGTGAAGAACTTCGATTCCCACGAGAAGAGCAACGAGGACATGTCCGACGAAGACGTGGCGTCGAATGAGGCGATCGGCGGCGACGTCATCGAGGAGGAGGCTCAAGACGAAGAGGTCAGGTCAACAATATTTACTTGAAGAGCCACTTGAAACTTAGCTCGGGCGACTTTCTCATAATTCATCGAGTCTGAGACCGCGTTACATTATCCGCGCGTTTCGACGGACGCTCCGATAATAGTTTAATAGGATTAAGGGGATGCTATGTTGAATAAATGACGAACTCACAAAATGTCGATAACGTACGACGTTCGTTACTGACACAATCATGTTATTCTTTTCGTACTTTTTTGATATAGATCTCACGTAGATATGTGTTGCTTTGTTTTATTATATTTAGCAAAAAAATATTTAACTACGCATATGTAGGAATCTTTTTGCAGACTTTTCCGATATTTTTGAGTCTCCAAATTCAAATTTAAAGATGCAGCAAAGGTCCTTTGAAATTTTTCTGAACTTGTTTTCCAGAGCAAACTTGCGCTCAGCATATACGCAAGCTACAGAGCTTTCGTATCAGGCGGCGTTCCCTGAAATTTTCCTGAGTGAAGCGAACCGCACGTTCAGTATGTGCAAGCTGCAAAACTTTTCTTTCAGGCAAATATTTACGCCAACTGACAGCTCGAAATGACCATCTTGAAATTTTATATCGTTTTTATTATATGTTTTATGTTGAGCAATGCTCCAATTAATTCCGGCACGTGTTTTTATAGTGTAAGAGTATTTGTAATTCTATGCAGCCAATACAACGTAAACTTTGTAGAAAAAAGTCAGGTATTTCGTCGGTAAAGGAGCTTGAAAAATATCGAAAAAGTTTGAAAAAACATTTTACACAGGCGCGTTTGGATTTTCCGTTAAATAATGTAAAACAAAGCAACAGGCATTTACGTAAGATCGATATGAAGGAAGAAGGACAGGAAACACAAAACTCCTGTATCAGGCAGAAATTTACGCCAACTGACAGCTCGAGGTATCCATCTTTAAATTTTTTGCTGTTTCCGTCACATATTGAGCAATGTTCCAATTTATTTCTGCACGTACTTTCATTGTGTAAAAGCATCTGTGTAATGCTTCCACGCAACCGATGCGACGTAAACTTGGCAGAAAAAGGTTTCTATTTTGTCGGTGAAGTTTTCAAATATGGCATCCCCTTAATGAACGCAAAGCCCGTAGTCGTGCGCGACGAGGAAAATGGCGTATAAAGGGAAAGGGCATCCAAATTGAGAGTTTCCCTTTAAGAGCTACGTAATATTAAGGGTGTGTTCTTTCTCTGTCTCTTTGTCTGTTTGTCTGTCTCTCTCTCTTTCTCTCTCTTCATAGAGAGTCCGTATATGTACGTACGTCTGTGTACATACGTAAATGTACATATGTATATGTATGTATGTATCGATGCAAACTGTTTCCCGATAGTCCGACGAAAAGCGGTTTCTGATGGTCTGCGCATACGGATAAATATCGGGCCAAAGGGCCCGGCACGTAAACTGTTTTCAAGTCAAGACCCTTTGCAAACCGGAATCCTATTCCCCGTTCGCCCACTGCGTCAGCTTAACTCGCCCTCTTGCCTTTGATCGTTCTCACTTTGCCATTTCGTGCTCCGCAAACGACGCCGTGTAAACTGACTTCGTAGGGACTGCGCCATGGCGGTGATGGTTTTCTTTTGCATTCAACGCAGTTAGGATTGATTTTGGAAGGAGTTGGGGAAGAGAAAGAGAGAGAGAGAGAGAGAGAGAGAGAGAAAAGAGAGAAGAGAACGGACGCCGCGAGAGTGAGGAACGTTTCGTTCGCGAATTTTCCGATCGGCTTGCGGCCGACTCTTTCTCCCTGTCGGGAATTCGATTAGTCGTCGTTCCTCACGCCTCCTTCATTCTCGACGTTCGAGTGCCGTGCAGCACGAACGTTACGTTAACATTCCGCTTGACGGGGCTGAGAAGCCGAAGTGAAATTAGAAAAAACAGTTCAGTGGTGCAGCCCGAAGTCTTGGGAATTCGAGGGAACCCCGTCGCGAGAGGAGCGACGGTTGGCTCTGTCTATTTGCGTCTTTTTGCAAAACGAGGCGAGACTCTCTAAAGCGTTCTTTCCTTCGCTGGACTCATTTGCAGGTGGCGGAACTACTGAAGTACAAGATGGGGAAGAGCGTGAAGGCGAAGGTGAAGCGCATGCCGACGGTGAAGAAGGAGCTGAGCACCCAGAGGGAAATATTGCTGGCCAGCAACGAGACGCAAGTGCCGAAGAGCCTGCTGCCCTCCGAGGATCCCTTCAATCGTTTAAGCGGCAAAACCGACTACGTGGAGAGACGGTCTTTGGAGGGAAACGAGGTGAGGAGAGGAGCACAGGCGCGACTCTTCTTCTGGGAATAACAGGACGATCGATCATTTCGCCGCGACTCGACCCTAAATTCACCACATATACACACACACACACACACACACACTTTCAGTTATATATTTACTCCCTCTTTTCTTCTTTCCACGGCTACTTATTTTTTCATCGTCATTCCCTTTGACCTCGCAGTTTCGCTCGCTTGAGAACGCACGCTGGCTCAGAGAGGAGTCTCTGGGCTGGAACGGGTTATTACGCGGGTTAATTCGAGTGTAATCTGTGCATCACTTCCACATTTGATATATAACAGCAGTTAACCTCCGGGCTGGTGTCAGGAAGCCTTTACGTGAGACGTTCTGGATACACATGTCGCGTGCCACCCCTTTCCCATGCGTTATTCTTGCGACGCGAATGCGCGGAAGAAACTTCCTTATCAGAAATTTGATGTGTCGTGAACATTAAGAAGCTATTAAGGAGCACGCGACTGAACTTTGAACTTGGTTTTCCTCGAAAAGAGAAGTCAAGCTCGCCTACTTTGCTCTCCTCGCGAGCGTAACTTTTCGATGTTACTCTTAATATTTCGGCAATTAAGCGTTGAATTGAAATCTCGTTAGAGTCCGAGTTGCAGCTCGCGCAATTAAACTGAGAGGACAACGTCCCGTTGATTTATGCTCGCTGATCTTTCTCTCCTGCGAAGAGCTCTTCCTTCTTAACAATTTACGACTTCGGAACTATCGATATTTCGACATTTTTGTCTCCAAACAGCGCGGCACGGAGCAGTCTTGCGCTACTTTAGATATCGGGTTGGTGCAAAAGGTTTGCCGTGTTTGCCAAATAAAAGACGGAATTATTCCAATTTCAAAGGGTCAATTATTTTTACGAATGAATAGAATCAGTGTTTCCTTTTCTGAGAAAAAAATACCCAGAAAGTAAAAAATATTTACTCAATGAATACTAATGACATGTTTACTAAATCTTTCATGTAAATAGAACCAACCATAGTTTTCGTGGAAAGTTGAGAAAATGCATATTCTCTTATTTGAAGAATATTTTTTGTCCGCATAAGCAAGTAAGCAAATAAGCAAATATGTTATCAGTGCCCACCGAATAAGTATCTTTTTATTTCTCAGATATTTCTTCTCTCTCGAAAATGCATTTTCCTTTTAATACCTTTTAATACCCAAACTTCCTACGAGAATTTAGCAGAAAACTGACAAATCCTTTGCACCAAACTGAAAGAATCACTAACGGATTGGGGATTATTATCAAGGGAATTACTCGTTTCCACCGTCGCTGCTGGTAAACTGGTAGCAGTCGCTTGATCAGAAATCCGTTTGAAACGCGCTCCCGCTTCTTGATACCTCACTCCGTGCTTCGCCCACCGGCAGCATTACGGGCGATCCTCGTTCTCCCAAACACGGTGATCGATGGATAGCTAAAAAAGAAGATAAGCCATTGTCCTCATGCGAGAGATAAGAGGGGGGGAGGTATCCCTTGACGGTTAACCATTCCAGTTACGTCCATCACATTTATCACGAAGTCGCGTTTTATTCACTTGATCGCCTCGGGACAATTCGCGCATTTGTATCTGTCATGTTTTCTTATTTCCATCCGCCTGCATCGTTGCACACACATGCCGCTACATTAACGCCGGCGAAAAAACCTCCACACCACTTTTCTCCTCCGTCATCGACGGCACGCTCTCGCGCAACATCCAAAAACGTTGGCCCACTTCTTGAAGCACGCCTACCCCGGCTTTTACAGTAACGCACGACCCGCACTTCGCCGACTGCTAAGCTGAGTTTGCACTTTATGCGTGCGATCGCGGTACGATTTGAAAAAAAAAAGAAAAGAAAGGAGAAAGAAAAATGACAGACGAATGCTTTCACCGATCATAAATCAATATAGCAAATGACTCGCAAAAACTGAATCGAATAGCGCGAGCGACTGGTCAATCAGAGCCGAAAGCGAGACGTGTTGGTTGCTAAAGTTACATGGAAAAAATATTTCAGTTCGGGTGATTGAATGGGGAGGTCAGATGAGAAACTTGCTGATGAGAAATAATATCTTTGTTACTGTGACCGGAAACATCCGTTTGAACTTTCAGCTGCATTAATAGCTCGGTTGAGATAACTGGGAGCAATTGGAGTAAAAACCTCCTACAGGAATCCTCTTGTTCCTAAAACCTAGTTTTTTATCTGGTCCCCAAGTAACAGGAAATTCAGCTGCATTATCGGAATTCTTGTTTCCGTGTACGTACACTAAGTGAGAAATTGCCTAAAAAATAAAAAAGAACATTCATATTTGATAGGTACTAATAACATATTTACTGATACTAATACATGTATTTTTACATCAACAAAATACGTTTTTCCAATGAGAAAATATATTTTATTAATACTTTTTTTAAATCGCATCGCTCTTTTCACGTTTTTTCTATTTAAAAAAAGAATTTAGATTAGTTATCAGTACTTGCTGAGTAAATATCTTTTACTTTTTGGATATTTTGTTCTCAGTATATGTTTGACAGTGTAAGCACCAAAAGTGTTTTAGTCTAACATTTCTATACACCTTTCTCGCCGAGCCGAATTTTTCTAATAATTATTTTCTCACTGCTCACCCCAAAATGAAACTCTACTTATTAATTTTTGTATTACGAAAGATACTGCCTCAGTCAAGAAAATCTTAAACAGCCTCAGCTGTACTTCTGTTACTTCTGTGCTTCTGTATAGAAGTTTACAAGGCATTGTTAAGGCGTGCATTTACCATTGTCAAAAATATATAGCAGCTGACAGATTGAGCAATTACTTTAGATTATGTGAGACGAAGAGAATACTCTTAATTAGATAATAAACAAAAATTGCAGGCACTTCAATATGTCTCATGAATGGGCAGTTTAATTCAGTTAGCGTGTCCAACGTTAAAAGGAGCGTTCCGAGAGCGGTGTGCTACTTTTTGCAATATCCGTATTGTCATTCGAGATGGTCTTTCAGCGAAGATGCGTCCTCTCATTAGCGCCACTGTCGGTAGCGTCGTCTGAACAAAAGGGTGCATTCTCCTGACTAATTTAATATTCTTTGCACGACGATATAGCCGTGACAATTGCATTTACGGCGCACAAAAGATGTCCCGTCGGCTTTTGCAATATGCATCTCATAACACTCTTCCTAAAGTGGAATTAATTCATCGCGATCGATCCTTTACGTCTCGCTCAGCGAGACGAGCCTTCGTGAAGCTATCAATGTTGACGGCATTGACTCTTATAGTTCCGGCGATTTTTAAGGCAATTTTTACAGTCTTTTACTATTTCATATGCGTCAAAAGATGGACTAATAAAAAACAGGACACTCCCGCCGCGTCACTATAAGTGGTTTTCCGGATCGCACGGTAGCTATTTTTTTTATCAATTTTCTTTCTTATTTAATCGTATAGAAACCTTCTTTTTGCATTGAGAATTGCGAAAGAACACATTTAGCTTTGATAAAAATATGCAAAAATATGCAGTGTGTCTGACGATAAAATAAAGAACGTGCATGTAGATGAAGCCATCAAATCGTCAGACAACCTTTATACGATAATAAAATAATAAGAGAAAAATAGAAATCTAAAACAAAGTGTTTATTATTATTTGCATAAATTTTAAAGTATATTATTAGAGAAACATTAAAAATGTCCATAACATAAATATACTTATTTTTCTTAAATTTTTTATTTAAAAAATGTTCCAAAACTTTGTATCTCTTTTAAGTATTGTTTACTAATTTATGTGGAAAAATGGATGATAACAATGATAATAATGATAATAACAAGAATTGTAGTTGTATTTTGCAAAATTGCTGCCGCGTCGTGGCTTTCCGGATTGCGAGAGTTATCGGGGCGACAGGTTAATAATATTTGTCCGATGAAAAAGAGAAAAAAAACAAAGAAAATAGATGTATTATTTCACTTGGCGGTCCCTTACCGCTATATTCGCTTTACGCAAAACGACGCGCCGTATCGACTCGGCAAATATTTACGGAGCAAACGCGCCGTCCCAAGCATCCCTTATGCGATCTGCCAATATTGCGTCTCGATAAAATGCGTGGGTGCGTGTGCGTTGCAGAAACAATCTCCTGGTAAGAGATACATCGTCGAATCACGAAGGAAATAGACGTGGCCTCGGATATCAGACCCAGACAGGAGACAGAGAGTGTTCCCGCGAGTGGCGAGTTATTTGCTTCCGTGATCCTCGACGGGAAATTGCATTGCAAGATTGCCGGAACCGCATATGGCGGTTTCACTGGGTCGCACCTGCGAAAACCACATTTCGACGCGCTCTTCGCACAGATGATCCGCGAATGATACGCGAATTTAGATACCCGGCTGGAGCCGACTCGTGAATTTATTCTGCGCGACTAGAACCTCGATCCGTAGAATAAGAGATCGTTCTCGCAGAAGTGCGGTCGTTTAATTATTTCTATTATTTCTGTCGCTTCCCTCCGGTCACATATCTCTCTATTTCATTATATTTCATTTATTTTTGCCCTCTCTACATATTCTATATCTTTTTCGTTTGTTTATTCATTCAGAGGGAAAGAGTCTCTTTTACACAGAAAAGGAAACGGGTTGTACGTGTTCTACGCATATTGCATATTTAATACGAAGTTAGGATAACGAAACACCAGAGAGCAGAATTCGAAACTTCCGCATATGGAAAAGGATTAAGAGGGATGTTAGAGTCGATAGCGAACTCCAAAAATACTAATAACATAAAGACGATCGTCACTAACACAATCACGCTATCCTTTTCGTACTTTCTTTCTTGTGCATGTAGATCTTACATGTTGTAGATGTGTGTTACTTTTTTTATCTTATCTAGCAGGGATCCTAACCACACAAATGTAGAAATCTTTCTGCAAACTTTATCGATACTTTGAAGCTTCCAAATTCAACGTGCAGCAATGTTCTTTAAAATTTCTCTGAGCACAGCAAACTCGCTTCAGTATACACGAGTTGCAAATTTTTTGCATCAGGCGAGTATTTACTTTAACTGATAGTATTTGAGAGACTAATTAACATCCGAAATATCAGCTTTGAAATTTTTATATTGTTTTTGTCATATATCGAGCAATGCTCCAATTCATTTCAGCATGTATTTTTGTGTGATTCTGTAATTTATAATTCTGTGCAGCCAGTACAACGTAAATTTTGCAAAAGAATATCGATACGCTAATTTTGACTCCAGCACTCTCTTAACATCAATAGTATTTTCTTTCGACTCGCCCCAATTCTGTCACGTTCTCTTTTTTGTTCCACAAATGAAATATTTGTATACGATGTTACGATTTGCATAACTCTACTTGCCAATTACATTATCGATATTGTCTGTTATTATATTAATTTTCCTATATATAGGTTCAAGAAGGCGCTTTGGCGGACAGCTTGCTGAAATTTTTAGTGAAACTGGCAGAAGACCCGAATAAATGGCAACGTGTACATAAATTCCTCAGTAAGTCGAATTAACAACGCTCGGACATTACGTCCAAATTTTGTCGTTCTGTAAAAATGCGTGAATGTTATTACGAATGAAAAAAATATATCTCCTGCGAAAGAATTATTAACGTGCATACATTGAGAAAAAAAATAGTAAATGTCGCTAAAAGCACAATTGTTTCACAGTTGTTTCCGGTATATCTTCTTGTTATTCTAATGAAAAGATAAAAGTATCAATTCCCGGACACTTAATCCTAGACACTCTTTTATTGTTTTTGTCTTTAAATACGAATATTTGAACTACCAACATAGAATATATCTATATATTTAATATATGTATACATATTCTTTATATTAGGAATTTAAATATTCGTGTTTAGGGACCAAACAAAAAAGAATGACTTTAAATACGAATATTTAAACTTTCTCAATGTAGAACAGATATATGTACATTTAACATGTGTACAGATTTTATATTGGAAGTTTCAATATTTATGTTTAAAAACTACACCAATAAAAATGCTATTAAATACGGATATTTAAACTTTTAACAGAGAATATATGTGTATATTCAATATATGTATATATATTTCTTATGTTAAAATATTCGTATATGCGAGTATTAAACATTAAAACAAGAAGAATGCCCAGGATTAGATACGCGCGTGATTCTTTTACTTTTTTTTCTATAGCTACAAATACTTTCTTCTCAGTGTATGAGTATAACACATTTGTGTGTTTCCGTGTGAAATTGCTAAGGTGCAAAATCTAAGGAAGGCAAAAGGAAATTACGAGAAATAAGACGGATCTAAAGGAGAAAAAAAAGAAACAAAAAAATAAGAAAGAAGAAGAGTTGATCGATCCTCGTATCGTGACGTCACGATGGCGCAAGCAGTTTCGCGGATGAAGACGACGAAATGGAGTGGGCGCGCAGAGAGACACTCGCGGAATCCGGATTTTATTGAAAAATTACTGTACGTGTCGGGCGATTCGTACGAGCCCGGCACAAAGGAACGTGGAATTGTGCGCGCCGGTCGCCGATACTGCCGATAAATTCCAATTGAGCCTTTTCAGAGAGACACAAAGGTTAGCTATCCCCGCCGTGAAGGGAGAAACGGCTCCTACAGGTGCGGAAAGGCAGCACCCGGTCGATTGGTAATCCAATAAAGCCTCACAATTGTTCAATTAGGCGGCCGTCGCTTGCATTATTGCCCCGTGTAATTGCTGTCTGACAATTAACTTGTCCTTACGACCCGGAAATCAGCCTAATTCGATTCCGCGTCGTTTCTGTAAGAGCTTGTTTGCTCCGACGACGCGTTCCTCTCTCTTTCGCGGTCGCTTTCAGCGGAAATTAACTTCTCAGCGTGTCAGAATGCGACGATAAAAGAAACACTGTGTCGCGCTTCTTTCTCCCGTCCAGCTGGGCGCAAATGATTCTCGACGGAGTTCGTGAAATAGCTTCAATCGTCGTTTAATCGAATTCACCGCGAATTTCATCTTCAGTAACCTGATCTACCTTGCAAATTCGAGCCCCGCCGAGAGATCTGCAAAAATAAACGGCCAATCCTATTTGCCGTAATCGAATCACTTCGGTCAAAACCTCCCGCGATATTATTATCTTTCCCTGCCCTCGCAGCCAACATGGAGAATGACCTGCAAGCCTCAAAGAATATCCAAGACACGGTGAAGCGCGGCTACGACACCACGTCGACGCTGTTCAGCAGCACGACGCCAGTCTCGACCAACGCGCCCAAGAAGAGCCGCAAGAAGCCGAAGAAGAAGAAGAAACGCCCGAGGCATCGGCAAACGACCGTCTCTACGACGACCGTGACGACGCCGGTGACTACGACGCCGATGACTACGACGGAGACATGGTCGACGACGACGCCGCAGTGGAGGCTCGTGGCTGAGAGGTTGTTCGGGCCGCCTTGGCAACAGGACGCACACGAAGAGTCGAAAAGCGTGGCCAAACTCCGTTACGGGATCGCCTCGAAGCCGCGCACGTCGGTCTGGGAACTCGTGGACCAGGACAAGCCGAAGAGTATCATGAGGACCGTGAACACCGAGCGGATACCTTTATTAGATTTTCCCCGGGAATCCAATAGCCAGTCGCGATCGCTGAGGTTCGGCAAGATCAACACTTACCAGCCGCTACGTCTTCAAGATTCTCGGGAACTCACACCGCTGTACGATCGACCGGCAGGTAAGAGCTCGGCGTGTACCCGATACGCGCGAGATGTTGAGGGAGAGTGCACCTTAAAAGCACCGCGAACACAATCAACGAGTTTCTTACTTCAGCGGGAACCGTCGGCTGGAGTAATTATCGCAATAAAGCGAATCGTGCAGCTTGGTATATAACTAAAGCTTGGTATATAGCTAAATAATTACCGCAATAAATAGCGAACGTATTAAGCAATTTATTAAAATAACGAAATAATAATCGGAACAATAACGGTGGGTACATTATGAAATAATTCCCGACAATTTCTGACTTGCAAACGCAAATAAATTAATAGGCTTTTCATAAATTCAATTTAAAATATGGAAATCGACAATAATAATATTGTACTCTTAATTTTATCTTAAATAAAACTCACTTTTTATTACGCGTTTATATAGTTCGTGGCTTTGCTAAAGAGATGTGCACCGTTAACATGCCGGTTTTATTTATTATCTTAAAAAATCTAGATAATAATATTTTTTATTTTTTTAATTTTCAATGAACCTTAATCCGATGCACTTTTATGCAATCCGAGACTTTGTTATCAAGATATTTAACGTACACCATCATCAGTTTTATCTTCAAAAGATATGTAGATATCTTTCTTTTATTTTCGATTTAATTGTTAATAAATCTTTCTTTATTACGTGCGCTTTTATCCGAGATCTAATTAATATGATATTCAAGATGTTTTATTCGTCTTTTATTTATGCTCGATTTTGTTCGCCTTTTATTCGCTATTTTCAAAATCAGAGCCCGAGCTGCGTACTCTATTTGTGTATCTCGTCTAAACATATTCCAGATTCAGATCGTCCGGCCGATTACTACTTATCTGAAGCGGTCTACCCACCACTGCGCTACACGCCATCTCGCGAATTTCTGCGCCGCAGGAACGAGAACGATTATCAGGACGACCTAACTCTACAGACGGACAATTTCGCTTACAATCAGGAGTACAGACCGTCGAGTAGAGAGTTCACCAGCAATAAGGTCTGGCCGGAGCTCGCCTACAAGCACAGTCGACCGTGGAGCTCGGACGAACGTCCGCTTTTCACGATGTCGTCCGGCAAGTGGCCTTGGGCACAACAAAGCGACTTTAAGTATTGGCCGGAGCGCGAGAAATACCCGGACCGTAATTACTGGGCGAGCTTAGGCAGCGAGGAAGACGGCGATCGAATGAACCAGGCGGAGATTGAAGATTGGCAACAACAACGGCTGCCGCTCTGGGACGCCTCCGGCAAATCGAACATTTGGCCCCCGATGGGAGATACTTGGAAGACACCATTGTGGCCGGACAGACCGGTAAAACCGTACGATCAATCGACTACATGGGAGAAGAGTAAGAATCATTCCGAGCTGAACAAGAAGGAGGACACGGGCGACAAGGTGGTGCTGCCGAAAATCACCATGAAGACGTGGAACAGCCTAACATCCGACCCCGCCACTTGGCCTTACAAGCTGCCGAGCGCGAAGCCGTGGCCGAAGGACGAGAACGGCAAGTCGTACAACCCCAACGCCGATCTGGTGAGAAGACTCGGCCTCGACAAGGAGAACAATGCGAATTGGTCGAAGGACAAGGACGACAGGACGGGGAGATTGGTGTTCGAGAAACCGACCAACTCGATTGTCGCAAAGGACACATCGAAAAAGAAAGAATTCGCGCTGCTGAATGATTCCAAGTACAAAACGATCAGCAACAGGAGTAACTACAGTGATTACAAAAGACCGCAGGAGTCAATCAAAGAGACGCCTAATTGGATGTACCAAGACGTGAAGCATCCGAAGGAGTGGATCAAGCCGCAAGTCGCGTCCAGCTCGCCGAAGAACGGTGATGCGGGCGTTTGGGAGCGAAAGTTTGACATATCCGCCGGAAGCCAAGTCAAGAGCGACGGAAACTCCTTCTCGCGTTTCTGGCCTCTCAACACGGTCGCCTCCACCGATCAAAAGTGGTCAGATAAGGAGAGAGACGAGCTGGCGGAGTCCTGGAAAGACAATGCGAAGGACAGTAGTCTGCTGAGCACGAAGGTGAACAATGGGAACTTCTGGAAGGAAAAGTCCAACGATTCCTGGCTGCCGAAGACAAAGGCGGACCTCTGGACGACGAGGATGAAGTCCGCGCCGGTGCCGTGGGGCTCGAAAGTCGGCGACAACAATTCGTGGACGTCGAAAGCTGACAATGGCGCCTCGTGGATGTTGAAGTCCAACGATGCGGCCTCGTGGACGACGAACGGCGACCTCTGGAGCAAGTCCAACAGCGCCGATTCCTGGCCCGCCAGTGCCAACGACCTGCCCGCCTGGAGCGTGAAGGAGAAGAGCGTGGGTCTCATGGCTGACCACGCATGGACCAAGTCCAACAACGCCGACGACTGGCCCCAGAAGGCCAAGGACGGTAACTCGTGGACGAACAAATTCGGCGGCATGGCGTCCTGGAAGAACAACGACGACAATTGGTCCCGGAAAACGGAGCAGACCTCGTGGCAGCAGAAGATCAATGACGACTGGAACATCGGCTACGGCAAGAACTCGCCTAGTACGTGGCCTTCCAAGTGGAAGCAGTTCGTTTACCACAAAGTGACAGCGGTGCCAATCAGCAAGCCAGGCACGACGGCCGACGTTTCGTCGCCGAAATCCAAGAACGCGTTCGTCGCGGTTTCCGCGGTCTCCTCGAATTACAACGGCAACGACTGGAGGAAGAATGATGTGGAGGAGACGATGCGGGAGGACAACTTCAGGCTGGAGGAGGCGGATCGGCCCGGAGGCGGCCAGATCCGAGCGGAGGCCGAACGGCCGATCTATGCGTGGAAGAAAGACGGCTCGGAGCTGAGTAATGCCGGTCGCGGAAAGAGTAATGGTACTGAACCGCTGGAAAACCAACTGGAGGCCCTGAGGCAGGACGACTTCTGGCCGTACAAGCAGAATAAGGTCGCACCTAGTGAGGTAATGATCCGCCGCAATGTTTCATATTTATATGGGATTCTTATATATGGGATTCTTATTTATGGGATTCTTATACATGGGATTCTTATATGAGATTCTTATATGTGATGTTCAATGCGCTGTGAGAGAAGAAATGTCTAAAAAATATAAAAAAATTTATCCACAGTGAGTCTAATAATACATGTTTATTTAAATCCAAATCTTTTTGTTTCTAAATGGTAGAAGTTTATAGTAAATGTAATTCAAATTTGTTTGCAAATTTGTTTTCAAATTTTAACATGTTTGCCTTTTCATTTAAAAACAAGTTTTCCTCGGTGTAAAAATATTAGTACAATTCAGTATCTCAATAAATAAATAATTATTGATAGAACGTTATTGCAACAATATTTAGTAAAATGTAACGTTTTCTAATATGTAATTTTTAACGTTGTATTAATATTATTACGAACTTTGACACTTGAATATTTCTAAAATTTTTGTAATATTCAAAAGGATCCGGTAATATTCTTGAAGTGCTTTTAAAATATTAAACGAAAATATTTGCAAAAGATAAATCAATATTTCAACATGTTGATCTAATATTCTTTATTTACTGAGATATAATTAGCATCGAGTAAAGTTTTTTATTTTTTAGGTATCTTTCTCTCAGCGTATGATATGTTTCTTTTTCTAACTGTAGCGATTTTGTGTTTAAAAACGACGACAGTGTAGTGAATCGTTGTTTGCTTGTTTACGAAAGTTATCCCTTGGAAGAGTTACTCTCCTTTTCTCATTCTCTTGGCTGGCATTGAAATATCCAGCCTGGTTATCATAAATAAAATTTTCATGACCCAATCTGTGTCCTGCATTTGACAAATGAGAGCAGTTTCACGTTACACTTGGATACCAAAAGCCCTACGTACCTTGAAACTTCGACGCCAGGCGTCGTTAATTAACCCTTGTCGAACAGAAGTGGCGCCTGAGGCTGGCGCTGGAAAATCTATCGGAAACTGTAGATATTTTATGTCCATCGGAAAATACTTCTCGCGAAACTAGTCCGCAAAAATGTAACTTTTTAGTACCGCTAAAAATGCATCATTACCAGCCTCGCGGTACAAAGTGAAGATATAACGTGTCTCTGGCACAACTAGTTCTAAGATTACTGCGAATGAAATGTCGCATATGGCCGATATGAATGGCTCATAAGCTCGCGTGATTCTGAATTGTCACGGGGAGAAATATCTTCTCGTGCACGAACGCGCGCGATTTTTACGTTCAACTCGGGAAATTTCGTGGAAAACGCCTCTTCCACTTTCCACGTGTATCTCTCTCTCTTTCTCTCTCTCTCTCTCTCTCTCTCTCTCTCTCTCTCTCTCTCTATTTCTCTCTTTCTCTGCAAATAAGGATTCTCATATTACAGAAATATATTGCAATGCATTATAAAACGAGTAATGAGTGATTTAACTGCGACAAGAACGATTCTGAATGCAGGAAATGAATCGAGCATGAGAGAAGTAAAATTTTTAAAGAGAGGAAGCAGTAGTTCCATGTATTTTAAAGCGCGCACAGTCCACGCGCGTGCGAATGAACGAACTTAACGAGCTTTCGCAGAGCTCCCCATTCACGGGGATAAGAAATTTGGGGCGCTGATGTGTACAGTAAACCATGCAGTAGGCGACCTGCCGCCTACGTGCTGCAATTTCCCGGATTCGTTGACATGAACGTGCATGGACTGTGTAGACTAGCCTAGCCTCCAGACTAGAAGTGAGCGATGGCCCCTATTCAGCTCGGACCTTACGTGATCTCCTGCCTGATTGCTAAAGTTCGCGGAACTACGGGCGTGCCTTACATGAAAGTTCCAATCCCACTCGAGGCTTTGTTGGACTTTGCAAACCCGAAAGATTGCCACGAAATGTACCGCACGGGTCTGGAGTAATATAAAATCGCCGAGAGCTCATACTCTCCGTATACACAGTGGCTGATTGAAGAATTTGGCGCGACGCTGGTTAAACGTATTTTTTAGAAACTCGAGGAAACGAGTCTTAAAATTTGATTACGTAGATCAAGATTTTTTTCACGATTCATGGTCCAAAAGAGACGAGATCGTGCTATGGGGCGACAGAAATATCCCATTTGGGAACGCGGTGAGGTAACTCCTCTTACTCCGCTTCTGAACAAGAAAATATCCCGACCAGGTACACAGCTACATAAGTGTAATGTTTAACTTCTTTTCCTCCGTCGCGCTGAAGAAGGAAACAGCTGCGAAAAATATCACCTCGGCCAAGAATCTCTGGGGTTTCTCAAACTTTCATGTTGGATTAGTTTGCGACGTGATCGCTTTTGATTGTCGGAGTTTTCCCTTGTTTCACTTGTTATACTTTACGCTCGCATTATTTGCCCGAATTAATGCAACAACATTGGGCGCGCTTTGAAAATTAGGCTGCACTTGAGTTCAATTCAGAGTTTGCAGACATTGCACGCACACGTCCGCAATCCGTCACCCATATTCACAAACTCGCATCCAATTCCGACCTCGAGATTGCAACGGTACCGTCCCACTTAATGACGTATATATAGAGCGAGTAAGCGCACGTCTAATTAATACCAACGTATAATTAATTATTCATGCACTCTCTCGTGACTGTTTGTTGAAGGAATCGGCGTACACCGCGACATCAACGACTCAAGCAGCAATAGTAACGAACTTCACGACGATATCCCAACTTCCGCGGGAGGAGAGCACGTCCAAGGCCGTGGAGAAGCGGGCCCAGACCTATCAGCGGGAGAGCCTAATGAAATAGGATTCACATTTGACCTAACCCTGTTCGATTGATACCGAGATATCGTTTGCTTCGGCCGAAAAACGACGCGGAAGCAGCAGAGGCGCAGGGAGATAGCGACGAGAGTGCTTTACATCGTTATTCTGTCAAGATAATAACTTATTTTTTCTTCTAAGGGAGATACATTCAATCTCTTCCTCTTGTACGGTCTAGTCAAGCGATCTCGGTTCGCGAAGAACACACGGGACATTTGGAGTCGGTGGGAAAATTCGTAGCGACTTTCGACAAAATTCGTCTCTCTTATACTTAGAAAGAACGAAGTACAAATTTAATCTTCGCTGCCATGTCGCTGCCGGAGACCCTATACTTCTTCAGTCACCCCGCCGGGTCCTATTGCGAGATGGAAACGCGTGGGCTGCGATGTGTAAACGCCAGGGAAACCGATACAAGTGAAATTCAAGGAAAATCGAAGCACCAGACACCGACTTTATATTTCCATTCACGCACTGCGCTAAAAACTTTCCCACCGACCCAATGGATTAAGAAAGATTTATTTGTCTTAGGTTCTTAAGTTCTCTCCCAAGCTCTCTCTCTCTCCCTCTCTCTCTCTCTCCCCCCCTCTCTCTCTCTCTCTCTTTACTCCTCTCTCTTTTTTCCTGTTTCAACCCCACAATGCTGATGTGTGTGTGAATGATTTGTCGTGACGTCCTCAGTACACACGCGCGAGTATATTATTTTATATTATATTAAGATTAATTAAATATATACACACGCACATACGTTGCACGTGCACTGAGCTGCTCACATCGCATAAACGTGTATTGTAGAAGATTCTTTTGTCACGGTCTGCGACAACGTACGCGTAGCCGGTGAATTCTGTGCTCTACTTGAAATGCGCATAGCTATTGTTCTCGGTCGTGTGGCATGATCCTAGAACACAATAGGAGGGTTAAGGGAATTTACTTAGCAAATTCGATTGCACACACGCTCCATTATCCTCGCGCGACGACGTCGGATGAATTAGTTTTTCCTTCCGGGAAGATCATAAGTCCTGTTTTTTCTAGCTACACTACTGCGCAGTTTTTTGCGCGTAAAATAAAGCGATAGCATAACGTTTTGCTTCAAGAGAGAAGGCGGAGGAGAGAAGAGAGTATGTGTAGCTAAAAAGAACAGACCTGTAGTAATATCGCCGCATTTTTCGACGACAGAAATAACAATGACTTATCAGATATCATTTATAGCTGGCTTAACAGTTATTTTTTTTTTAATGATAATTGCAAGAGAATTGGTTTTCTCGTGAAGAAACAGTAAAGATATGATATCATAATATAATCATTGGTCGATCGACTTTATGGATAAGTTTATGTGTTACTATCGTATATTATTCAATGCACAGTAATTAAGGTTATTATAATTATCAGCTAGTCTTATTAAAACTAGTCATTATAATCTCTAGTCAGACGAGACTTCAAGACGCAAAGAGTTAGAAGGAGAACGAGATGAAAACACAGACATTTAATAAATTCTTTAACGAATCTTTGAAGCACGAAGAATCTTCACGCTACATCGAGGATGCGTAAAAAAATCACAAAAACAAAATGGATAAATATGTTTAACGAATTGCTTGATAAACGTAATGTTATGCAAGACAATTATGATATAAATGTGGAATTGTTGTGTTATATTTAATGAAAACTAAAGAAAAAAAAGGACACTTGTAACCCGGGAATAGGTTGCAGAAGTTAAGAAAGAAAAGCAACTTTGGATCCCTCGGAACCTGATTCAGAATACAGCATAATCGAAATCGATAAGTGTCCAATCGAGAAGTGTCTACATGAGAGGAACGCGCGCGTACGTTACACGATATTACGATGTAGATTGTATAATTACTATCACACATTCACACCACGTCCAAGAGCAATAGTGGCTAGGGCGTACTAAGCTTTCGAAACGGCCTTGAAGGTAAACCCCGTCTTTTCAAGCCTCCATTCGATAGCCTGAGTTACTCACAGTTCACTGTGTATATCCGTGCAACAGCAAACGTGCAAAACTCGATAAATTACGACCTCACTTATTATTTAATGTGCAGCACACCGTTGTCGTATAAAGGTCTGTGAAATATAGCCACTAGAGAAAATGGTTCTGTTGTAAATTAATGTTATCCTTGTATATACATATACGCGATTCGAAATAGGGTATAGCAGCGTTAGAGCGTCGTTTTACGACCGGATTACATGCATTCGATTTTTTTCGGAGCGAATTACTCATCTGTCTTATTCGGGAAATATTTATCGCAATATCTCCTTCAGGGAACAATTACTACGAAGAATACGAATTTTTTCTCCAACTTTATGTCAGATTAAGATATAAATATCTATAAACGATAACATTGTTTTTTATTGAAGTTGATCAATAAATTCAGTAAATCGATAAAAAGTAATCGATCTTTTCAATTACTATTTATATCGAAAATTTGTTGTTATTTGAAGAATTTGATTATTAATTTTATGTAAATTAAATATGTTGAAATCTTAAATGTAAATTCCAAAAACAGTATTATTGTCTTAATTTACCCTAAAGAGAAAATTGGCAAGAAAAAATCTGATTATAATTTTATTAAAAAACAATAGTTTTTTGTCTAGGATATTTTTTTATTTGTCGAAAGAAATATATATTAGTTCTTTTCGTAGATATATCGTCGCAAAATATGGATAAATGATTCTAACATTTATATTCAGATATTGCACCCACAGAGTTATCATATATTGTCAAATTTAATATAGTTTATTCAATACAAAGTGTTTCTCTTTCAGAGTAGACTAAATTTTAATGGCAAATTCAGCGACGGTTTTATTTTTAGGAAAATTTAATTAAACATCTTTCCTCACGATATTCTATTCAAAAAATAATCGCGTCTCAGAAAGAAATTATCTAAAAATAAAGTCTATCTTTACAAGTCCGATGTGACTTTAAAACGAGTTCGTATATTCGTATACTCTGTCATATGAAATATAAACAAGAAGGTATATTTTAAGGACTGTGGTACTCATAAACAGTCAAGTATTTGTTATCCAGAGGATAACAATGTTCAGAGCGTAAACAAGCAGTCGTTACTTACCGAATATATAAAATTTCTCGTGGAATATTCGCTTTCAGGACTTCGCGTTAATACTTTTATATACAAAAAGCGAGAAAAAAATCAACTTATGTAAAAAGAAAAACGTATCAGTCTATTAAAAAAAAAAAAAAAGAAAAATAGACCAGACGGGCCTTTGTTTTCTTGGAGAAGACGATAGTCTTAGTCTATTTGTCTCGTAACGGGCCTCAACAAATTCTGAAAGAAACCAAAATAGACTTTTATCGTTGAAACTAATAATATACTGTGAGACAACACAGTTTAGAAAACTTGATACGACTCAGATCGCGCCTTCGGACGTTTTAAGTTATCGTTAGACACGCGTTCAGCAGAATAAAGTGGCAGACGATGACAGTGATTAGCGAACGATCGGTGCATCTGAGTAATTAACATCTTCGCATCTAGTCAGTGCTAATACTTTATGCTAACACTTCGTGTTGACGCTTCTAGATCGAATGCTTGTTTTGCTGAACGCGATCGATGACAGCGCCGATCGTTCATTTTCTAACGACCTATCGGGGAGCTCTCTAGTATACGATTATATCATATAGATAGAAACGAGTCTAATTACGTAAACGGAAATACATCGCGGTCGATCGTTTCTACGATATTGCATCGTGATGTTTTCGAGAACGGACCGTTTCTACAAACATGCAGTAACGTTGCAGCGACCAATGTGTTCGCGGCGTTTTTCCAATGCAGCATTCGCGTAGCGCTCCTACGATCGATATCATTGCATCATGACCAGCAGTCTTTGTGTAATCATTTCTCGAAAGCGTACGAAAAACATATCGATTTCCCCCTCCCCCGAGTGTGTAATTAAATGCAAGCCATTTCGAAGGGGTTTCTAAACGAGTATTTTTAGATGCATAACACACAAATGCGCGTGTGTATGGAAATAATTAAATATTATTTCGGAATTTACAATGTGTGTTAATTATAATTTGTAATTACAATTAATGCGGTGAATACGAGGGTTTATTGTTATTATTACTAATATTATTCCTTATTATATATTACACGTGCATGCAAATTCTGTGAGAAATCTTTTGTGTCACGTGGGGATACGCAGTGTGCAGCGAAAGTCGTGGCGCAAGCGGCAACAGGGTGATTCCTTGTACAAAAGTTAGTTGTTAACGAATCATCGGACAGGACGCGCGGTGAATCTTTCGCGACAGGGGCATCGTTTTCAGGAGAAGGCAGTTTTAGCAATCTGGAACAGCGTCATTTCGCGTGTTTCCATAGTTCAAACGATCCTGAATCGACTCGTTGAATTTATCTGACCAGCGGACGGTAGATCGCACGACGGGGATTACTACTCGTATTTTTGTTATTTCCTCTATTGTTCGTAGTAAAAATCTCGTTGGCCACTAATTCGAGTTTTCTATTTAGTTGCTTTATCTCGGAAAGAGGACAGAGCGATCCATCATAACATGACGGCAGCTTCGTCATCGAACTAAACCAGAAGCCGTTATCTCTTTTATCGAACACTTACACATTGCTGCGTCGTATTGCATCTAGCATTGACGATATCTCGAAAACGGATTTACACTAGGAGCTTGTTGATAAAAAGCTTTTCTCTCGCCGTACTGCGATCCAATTAACGTCGAGCCGCGTCTGAAGTAGTCCTCGCGATGATGTCACGTAATTGACCACACGACGACGTCTAAATACGTACACATATATAGATACTACATACGTACTACGTACACACTGTAATATAAATTCTCCGCGATTCTCCACGAACTCTCTGTGTAAAAGTGATTTGCATGTCGATTATTATCATTCTTGCGTATTGTTTAGACGATCAACGGACGCTAGACGCGACAAATGACACAATTAATTGAATAGCTGCCTAGTATATTAATTATATATAATTAACGGCGTTATATATTTTTATATACAGAACGGAGGCAGCTAAGCACACAGAAGCAGATAGAGCTCGTACATCGCTTTCGGATACGTAACTCTTCGAGAGAGGAGGGATTCGAGACGGCAGACATAATATATCGTAACGCGGGAAAGAAGATAATGTTCCCTGAAAAAAAGCCACTCTCTTCGAAGTGTTAAAGTCGACGTCTTTTCCTTTTTCAATGGCAACCGCACATTATTATTCACCACACATTCTTGTAGCGCATAGAGAGACGAATCGAGAGACACGACATAATGTATCATGTTCCGATTATCCGATCTCATGAATAAAATCTGTTTAAGTAAAAAACTGATCTCTGTGTTACTTGTGTGCACCAATTTCGCCGATTGTATTTGCTCGCATTTGCATCGTCTTTCTCATTTCGCTCTAAGGTGACCAGCGAGTATTTTCAACGCTCGTAGGGCGCGGTCAGAGCTGGCTGGAAGGTCAAGCGCCGGGTTCTCCATTAACTCGTGACAAGGCCGGGCCAGGGCACCGAAAAGACATGTATTTTTTCATGTACACAGCTGCAGCTGAGATCCCTATTTTCATATCCCATCTCGCACACTGGATAACTTAGCCTTTTAAGGCTCAGTGTACATTAGATAAAAATATCAATGCCCAGACACGTATCTAACCCTGGGAATTCTTAATTCCTTGTTTAAGTCTTTAAATGCAAATATTCAAACTTTTTCAACGTAAAAAAATATATACACATTCTTAAATATGTATGTACATTCCTTGTAAATTAGTCAATATTCGCATCTAAAGATCAGAACAATTGTACAGAATTGGGTACGTATCTGGGGATTGGTACTGTTACCTTAATTACCCACATAGCATCAAAATTATTAGTAAAATGTTACCATAATATAATATCTCAGTAAATTAAATTTTTCTACATGGGAATACAATGTTATAGTAATTTTTCCTCTATTGGAGAGCAGCATGTTAATACTGCTAGAACATTAGCCTATAAATTATATTTTGATAGATATTAAAATGATATTATAATTTAACTACAAAGCAATCTTGAATTAATGAAGAAAATTTTGTATTAAAAGATTTAAAGTTTATTGAAAGTCTCGGAAAGTGTGTAATATTTTTTAAAGTCATAATAACATCGCTACTATCTTTAGTAACATAATTAAAAGTTTCTTAAGTTTAATGTCGGTGTCAATCTTCCTGTGCTATTTAGGTATGTACACTCACTTTGAGTCGTCCAATTTTTTCTAACGTAAACAGAACTATATTCTTCGTCCCAATCCGTGCTATGGTGAATCAGTATGGTGATCAATATGGTGATCGTGTACAGAGCGGAACCGCTGATGCTCGTGTAAAGTTTTTCATGGAAAAAAAAGTAAACAAATTTTACTTTCTCAATTTTTTATCGATGTTATCTTAAAGGTACAAGATCGGTGCTTTTATACGTCCGTTTTATTGCGTTTATAAGATCTATTAAATTCTGTAGCTAAAGCAAACATGAATGTACACAATTACGTACATTCAGGAAATCGTACTTCTCGACGGTCAGTTTTATTCGGATCACAAAATTCTTCATTAGTAGCATCTTTTAAGACTATTATATGAAAAAAAAAATTTACTCGGATGGGATTGATGTCTGAATCTTAATAAAAAGTTAGTTGACTGCCACGATGGTCACTGCAATATTGCCACGTCTCACTAATTGACGTATAAAACGTGACTAACTGCGTGTAACAAATTAAGTGTACAGCCGACAGAAAACCAATGAAATGAGCTAACGAATATATGCATCGCGAATTGCACTCATTTGCCACATATCTTGCTGATTCAAACTTGAGTTAAGCATTGAAATAATCAGGGGAAATCAACGTGTCGATCAATGTGTCAATTGTCGACCAACGCGACACGGGAGCCCCATTGTCGTGGCGCAACGATTGTTATCAACCCCGGGTAGCTTGAGAAGACAGTATGCGGACTGAATCTTCGGGGAATCTTTGGGAACACGTCAGATTCTCGACGTCATCGACGCGAACTCGCTAACACCTCGGAGAAATCGTCGCGAAGCGGATGCTGCTAACACCTCCGGAATTTTATTTCCCAACAGGCTGAATCCCATCGAGCCTCGCCATCAGGAAGGAATCCAATCGAGTAGTCGAATCGAGGATGAAAAGGAAAGGACGCCGTTACGTCGCCAGGCCAACGTGGGAAAGCTTCAAGTGGAGCTGTCGTCTCTTTCTCTCCCCCGTGGAGAATTTCTACCCACGGAGAACCCCGGGCAGGAATTGACCTGTACTCAGGAGTGGGTCACGTCGCCAGCTGCTGGCTCCTGGAGACGCACAGATTGGGAAAACACCATCCCGACGAAGCAGTTCGTATTCCCGCGTGAGGAAAGCGCTCGACGGACCATTGCGCGAGCTGCAAGCGCGCCTAGGTAGTGGCAAAAGCGGCCAATGGGATTCATATGAATGGGCCAATTAGGATAAAGGAATCCTTTATTGGTGTTCCTTGTTGCCGGTGCTATTCACTATTTGGTGATCGCACGAACGGAAAGGACGGATCGTCCAGTTGGAACTAAGTGAATCGAAGCCAGCAAGCAGCACGTAATATCGTAAGTTCTTTGGATTTTGGCCAGGACGTTATCCTGGTGATTTTATTATATTAACTGCTACAAAGCTTTCGCCGGCATTTCTCTCAACGAAGCGATCGCGGACGCGTGCACGACTATTGTCCGTTCGACTGATAAAGGATAGTTGTCATATCAGTCTAGATTGCAGCAGACTGCGTTCCGTCAATTTTTCGTCAAAGCACCCTCCGATGCTTTTGTATTGGAATATTCACAGTATCTGTCACACCCGATCGCTTCAATATTGAAAACTATTGAAGGACGTTTCGCCGTGGAATCAACGGGCTTCTGTCCGTCATCGTCTAAACGGATGGCGAGAATCAGCATTAGGTCGTCGTCACGGAGTCTTCGGTGCTCTTAGAACTTTTCCTTCGAATCTCGACGATTCCATTTGTCAAACTTGCCTTCTATCCTCTCCGTAGCATGCGCGAATCGGTGCTTTATTGTAATTGCATCCCGGCCCCCGCGATATTCGACGCTTCGTGATGTTCGACGCGAGTTCTCGGGTGACAGCGCCTCCCGGCGAAAGTACTTTCCGCATGGATGCGACTTATCGGTAAATTAGTTGTACAATGAGGAATTTGAGGCATCTCGTACTAATTGGAAATCTCTCATCGTGGAAGTATTGATTTTACGTAGGAAGTTCCAACGAGAGAGGCCACGGCTACTGCAAAGAGAGAGCGTGGTAGTAGAGTTTTTTCTTACTGTTGAAGCGTCGTCAAGCCGAGACACTGCAAACATAAACATTTCAGGCTCTGTCGCACTGCCGAGATTTCGTCGAACGTAATATTCTAACGATGTTTGGAACTTTGCACAAAGCGTTAATTTTGTCTCAGCGACGCTGAACCCGCGCGTGTTTATTGACAGATCCCAAGTGACCCCGAAACGCCGCGAAGATAATTTTTCTAGCCCAATTGCGTATAGTAGGTTGTAAAATGGTTTAAATATAATAAATATGGGAGTTATTACTTTGACGAGCTTGTCTAGTAATTATATAATTAATTTTTTATTTTATATTATTATATTTTTATTTTATTATTATTTTATATTATTATATTTTTGTATTTTATTATTATTTTATGTTATTATATTTTTGTTTTATTATTATTTTATTTTATTATATTTTTATTTTATTATTATTTTATATTATTTCATTATATATTTATTATTATTATTAATTTTATCATTACTTACTATTCTTAATTATATTACTAATTATGTTATTATTGCATAAATCCATCGCTAAAGATTCTGAATTTTGACAGTTTAGTGAGCTTTCAGCTTTATAGTGTCTAAACCGTTTTACAACCTACTGTACGTTAATTTCCTTTTTTCGACAGGTATTTTCTTTTTGTTATTTCTCGTTGTGATTTTCAGTCCTATATTCATTTCATGGTAGACAATGCTGTCTATATTCAGCATCGTTCGACCCTCGAAGGTGCCACCTCTTCTACTATTTTATGCAGATGCTGCACCGGACAGCTGCCGAACAGCTGCCGTCTCGCATTCGGCGACCCCAGGTTCACCTTAGTTTTTCGTTAGGAAATTGCTACAGTTTTCTTCTCTCTGGCGCCTGACACTCGGCGCCAGTATGACGACAATATGGTGTGTTGAAGTTTGGAAGCGGTTAGCCACTGCGGATTTCCACTGATTGTGACCGAGGGAAACGTAATAGAGGAGCCAACGAGTCCCGTAATAGCCGGAAAATTGATCTGGGTCAATCTAAATTGACAAACTCGAGAGTTTATTATCCGGTTCGGCGGACATTAATACGGTCGTTCATTTATTCGTTCATTAAACTAATGCGCGGTTTTTACTTTCCACTATGCATACGTTTTCATCAACTGCAATCTACTGCAATCTTGACGGTCTTGACGTGACCTTATTTCGGTGTTTTTAATCTGAGATGGTGCAATCGCGACTCCAAGTTTTAAAGAGAGAGTGACTGGCATCAGCACGGATTATTCGCTATTAAAGCCTGTAGCAATAATACAATAAATGAAGTGTGCTTAATTCCAGTCGATAGCGCCGCGATCAATTGCATCTGATAATCCGTAATTAATCGTTAACCCTCTATTAGAGGGCGAAGGTATGGGCGGACGGCTTATCGCGCTCGCATTAATGTGAAACAAATCGAAGCGGAAGTTATTCCGTATGGCGATTTGTATTGAGGATCTACTTAATCGTTCCTCTCATCGAAGATACAACAGGAATCCAGACGACGATCATGAAGCTACTGATGACTCTGGTGATGTTCATCACCATAGCTTTTCGCGAGACTTACGGATATGGAAGGATGATCGATCCGTTGAGCAGAAGTAGTCTCTGGAGGAAAAATTTCCCGTCAAAGGTTAACCAAGATGACGCCCATTTAAATTGCGGCGGGCCAATCGTACGTACGCGTAGATTGTTTCCTTTTTTTTTCCTTTCTTCTCTGTAACATCGAGACGTCGATAATTTCCCAGTTACCGGCTAGTTCCCCGGCGAGTGAGCGAAGAGTTTCCTTCAAGGATGAAGAAAATAACTGAAGTAACTTCGCTTCTCGCTTTAATCCCACGAGTCAAACTTCCTCCGACGAAGGAGGCTACTAATTAATTTCGTACACGGAAAAAAAAATATAGCGACCAGAAATACTTAGTTATGCGCAGCATATTTTTGCATTACCCTGGTTACTTTTGTGTCATGGTAATATGTATGATTGATATGGCTCAGTTACTTTGGCATGTCATTTACATCACGTAGTTGCACGTGATCTGGTTGTGGCGACGAGAAATCAGTTGGGATGACGTTTACTATGGATACACTCTGGCTGGAGCAATCAGTTATCGTCGCGGCTACAACGCCAGTAACCCGCAGTTGTTCTGTGGTTGCAGCAACCACATAATTAGTTGTTCCGTACTTTGCTATTGAATAACAGTCGGCACAGCCAGATTTATGTGTGGGCCAACCATTCTGTTTTTTTTTCCGTGTACTTAACGTGAGATAAGTAACAGTGCATCAAAAACGATGATCATTTTCTTTTTCAGGTGCAATTCGACAAGAACAATGGCAAGTGCGGAGAATGCGGTGACGATTACTCCTTACCTCGACCACGGCCGAATGAAAACGGCGGTACCTACGGGAAAGGGATGATCGGTCGTGTGTGAGTAAATCGTATTTTCTTATTGCGAGCAAACGAAGGGGTGAGATTGGAATTGCCGGCGGCAACGTACTGTATGAATACGCGGCTATACATGAAACCGTCATCCTTCGCAGGTACAGGAAAGGTTCTATCATCAACGTGAACGTTGAGCTCTTGGGCAGCCATCATGGTCAATTCTATTTCGACATCTGTCCAATGTACATGGTCAAGATAGAAACTTTTGAATGCTTCTATCGACATCCTCTACTGTTGGCTGATGGTAGTGGCTACACGTACAACGTTACTAAGACGGAAAAACAGCTGAGGAACGTCGTTGTCAAGCTAAAACTGCCACTAAGGCTGGACTGCGATCATTGCGTCTTGAGGTTGGAATTGGAAGTTCTGAATATTTTGATTTGATTTTGATGTTTCGTACGACTTTAGTTTTATCAATTTCGAGTGGCGCTGTAATTCCAATTTAGCGCTTTATTAAAGAAATATTTACAATAGCGGCGAAAATTAATCAAATTAATTAAACACGAAAGTAGCGTCGAGTCGAATTTTCGTTGAAAAGACATTGATTAAAAATTCCACAAGATCCGTAATACTTTTACCAATTTTGTCTTCAACATGATTTCAATGTAACCCCAAATATTTCTCTTCGATATCTTTAAGACATCTCTTAATAATTTGTGCTGTCTGGAATTACTTTTAGAGATATATTCAATGGTAAAAATTGATAACAGGCGAAAAATTGAATTTTTGTTGAGGAGACACTAATTCAAAATTCCACGAATGAAATCCTTAAAGGAAAATTCATAAATGAAATATGCATAGAGGCGGAATTACCTCGTGTAGTTCTTCTGTATCTTCTAACATATTGTGTAGCGCAACGCGGTTAAGATCAGGGTTAAACATATAATAAACACATAATCGAAGACAACTTAAAGTATGATTATAGAGTATGACGTGATGACTTGCAATAATTTTTTAATTCTGGCCTAGGTGGCAGTTTTTCGCAGATGATAACTATTTTGAAGAAAGTGGGATGATAATGTCCCACCCTTATAAAGCGACTTGGAGAAACTGCGCTGATGTCGCCATTATAAAAAGTAGGTCTACGCAGTTTCTCAGGAAGGGGATTAATTCAAGAAGTAACCCACCAAATTAAGAGATCCAACTGATGCAAAGATCGACACAAGAAAGTGTCTGTTTGATCTAATGAGAAGCAAATGACGGAGCATGAAGAATTAAATGTCGGTGAGCATTTTCACATGATGTCAATGGCGCATTGGATTCGAGCAATTGTTGAAATTTGCGATCCGATTAATGAAATTAAATCATCGCACAGATTCAGAGTGTTATCTCATTTAGAACAGAAATTATATAGAAGAATATATAACACATTCACACACACACACATACAATATCCTCCATAAGTTTGGAAACACAGATAAAAATAAGGATATTAAAATAGATATTTTATAATAATTCAGTTTCGCACTTACCTTTAGAAGTTTGACGTTTATCTCATTAGATAGAGCGAAGTTTTAAGTTTAGGAATCTATTTTCTATATTGCTGTGCGATGAAGTTTAAAGAACTCAGGAACAACCGAAGTCAAAATACTCAATTTTATTTTAACCCTTAGTAATACGAAAATACAAAATTGTTTAGAAATTTTTTCATAAAGTAAATTGTATAGAAAATTTCAATCTTTTACATGGAAAAAACTAAAAATTTTGCCAGATTTTTTTCTTGCGTTCGTAGCATGTTTCAAATTGAGAAGAAAATTTTCCATTTTGTCCATTTCGTTTTCATAAAGGCAAAATTACACTAGTGATTAGCGATTGACAATTCAAGATTGGAACTGGATCAATTGGAGCAAAACAAACCAAACCTGAAGCTCGTTGATTCGTCAAAAGTTAATTGTCAATCGTCACTAGCGTAGTGTGGTCTTTATAAAAACGAAATGGACAAAATGGAAAACTTTCTTCTCAATTTGAGACATGTCACGAACGCAAGAAAAAATCTGAGAAAATTTTAATTTCTTCCGTTTGATTGAAGTTTTTTATATAATTTACATTATGAAAAAATTTCTCTATAATTTTATGTTTCTGTATTACTAAAGATTAAAATAAAATTGAGCATTTTGACTTCAGTTGCTCGTGACACTATTAAACTTCATTTTACAACAATACAGAAAGTGGACTCTTAAACTTGAAACTTTGTTCAATCAAATGACATAAATGCCGATTTTGTAAAGGCAAGTGCGAAACAGAATTATAATAAAATATCCATTTTAATATCCTTTTTTTTAACTTCCAACTTATGGAGAGTACTGTACATATACATATATTCACACATATATATACATATGTACACCCATTATATTATATTATATTGTATAATACACAACATTATATAATATAATATTATATAACATAATATGGTATAATAAATATATCATATTTAAAGAATATAGTGTATATGTAAATAATCAATAAAATCCGAACTGCCGATATATCATGGTTAAATAAATTAATTTATTTTCATGAGGCAGTCTCATATAATATAAAAAGTTTTCCGTTATTTATTATCATGAAACTATCTCATATAACATAATATTTCATATATGTATATATAATATCTTATATAACATGACATAAAAACATTTTATATTATATGAAATACTTTCATAATAATAAATTTATCTAACCATATTAACTGTGTATATAGCTGTGTCCGACTCTTATTGACTATTTGCACGTACAGCATTTTTGTTATTTTTGGAGCCAATATATTTTTTTACATTATATTTATACTATGTATTATACATATAAAAAATATATAAAGCACATATATGTATGTATATATATATATATATATATATGTGTGTGTGTGTGTGTATGCATGGGTATGTGTATATATATATATAATATTCTTTAAAAAAATAAGAATGCTAAAATTTCTAATTTTATCGACAGTATATTATTTTATTATTTCTCATATCACATATTGTTTATGTGAAGCTATCCAATTTCAATAAAATTACTTTTTAACGATAACATTGAGTTTCTGACATTCAGAACTTTTCCAATTATCGATCTTCAATATATATTAACTAGGGAATAATTTACATTGTAATGGTAATTAACTGAAATATCATAATTGTATTCAACGCAATTTAAAGCAGCTTGACGATAACAACGTCAACTTCAGGTGTCAATTGAATTCTTTATGTGCTTTAAATAAAAAATGCTTTACTGCTTGTTAAACACAGTTGTTGCGCCATGTGTATATGTGTTTTGCAACTTCGACGTTATTGAAGTTCAAACTTGTCCTTCGCGTCAGTAATGGATTAACGAATTGCTATGCCGGGTATAGCCGGAACAAACGAACAGTCCGCACATGACGTTATTCCACGTGAAATTTGAAATCCACCTATCTATCTATTTTTTTCGGAATCTCTGTGGAAACTCTGTTATAGGAGATAATTGCAGCGTCTGCAATTACGGAGCCAACTATTACAAGAATACAGCTACACGTGTGTTCTTTCTTTCAAAAAACGAAATATTTTAATGAATATTGTACGTTGCCGCTGCGCGAGTTAGCATGCATGCAAAACTATTTCAACTTTGGCGTAATGAAAATAGCTTGATTGGATTGTGTTTGATATATCAATCAATATAATAAAGCAAATATCGTTACGATATGAATTATTTCACACGTGAGCGGAATTCACGTAGGAACGACATCTGGATCCACAAAAATCTACAACTCGTGTTTACATGCGCCGTCAAAAATGTTGTTGTTCTCTCAATAAATATTAAATATTAAAACTCTTTATCATCTGCGTTTTTTATGGCGCTACTTTCGTCGTACATTGCGCACTTGTATTTTGTTTATACAAGCGAATGTACAGGATCTTTATCACATTTGCCTTTTATTATTCACCATCTGACGTAATTTGCAACATCTGATAAGACTATTGATAAGTAATCGTTGTGAGACGTGGGCGGGACAGGCTTATCGGGAACTGTGCAACTATATAAAGTGAGTCAAGGCAATTTCACATTGAATTTCGCGTCGGAGTTCAAGCTTCACTTCCGTCACAAGAGACGTCACAGGAAAAAAGGTAGAATGGCATTCGCAAAGGTACTGGTCCTGGCGTTGGTGGCCGCCATTAATTTGCAGGGGATTTACGGCCATGGAAGGCTGATGGATCCCATAAACAGAAGCAGCGTCTGGAGGGACGCCCGATTTAAACATTTGAATCTACCAAAGAACTACAACGACAACGAGAATTTCTGTGGCGGCGTAGGCGTATGTATACAGAGTTATTTGTCCATAAGTCGCTAAACTTACCAACTTACCGGTTTATTGATTTAAAACCGCGTATTAGTTGAACAATTTGCCTCGACGATGTTTTACGTGGGTTTTGCCGGGTAGAACCTGATTTATAAATTTCTTTTGCTAAATCTTCAACGTGGAAGTCACAAAGGTGCAGCAAGAGATGATCGATTAAATTTTCGAAGAAAACATATGTCAAATCTCTCGATTTAACGAAGAATAATTCTGTAAAATATTTATAGAGATACGTGTATTCAATTGCGCGGAATAAAATCTGCTTAATTGTTGATAATCAGAATTTGTCTTGAATCCTTAGATTAAGATTTTATTTTTATAAAAATTATATTTGAAAATTTAACGTTTTTAAAACGTTTCTGGATAGATAAATACTGAAACACGAAACAGCCTTTAATTCGGAAATAAGATATATTGAACAGTTTGTATATTAGTTTATATATTGAATAATATGTAGATGTATATTATATAGATATATGTTATATAGATGTAGGTTTGAAATTTTTTCTTATTATATCTATAAAGTATCCGACATAATCTTGTTTTCTTGTGTTCACGGTTCGTATCATGTTTTAACGAGCAATTACGTGTTTACCTCTGTTTAGGGAAAACGTTCAGATGTAATTTTAATAAGTTTCTCTTCTGACTTTAGTCCGTTTTAGAATATTTTTTTTAAGAAAGAAAAATTAAAGAAAAGTATTTAGTATTCAAGAAAGTTATATTGTTCTATATTTCTTCTTTTGTGAACCTCCTCGAATTATATTCCTTATATTCATTCCTCAAAGAAGCAACCGAGACAAACGAGAATGTATAAAAGAATAAGATGGATCGCGTTGTGAAGCGCAACTGTAGATTCTCATGATCGAAAACTGGACATGATTTTTTTCTAAAACAGCAACACACATATGCAGTTTATACATTAAAAAGAAACAAAAGATTTTGACAAATCAAATTTCAAAACTGCTAATCGATATCAACATTTATCCTTTTAGTTAGGTACAGGTTTTATTTTAAAATAATTTCGCTTCGCAAACTATAGAATAGATATACAGAGATGTTTAATATTAACACTTCGAAAAGAAGCCGTGAAAATATTGATTATTGGAATTGGATGGGAACTTGTCTCGTCAGATTCATCACGGAAAAAACGGTGGCAAGTGCGGACTATGTGGTGACGATTGGTCTAGACCTCAACCACGGGCGAATGAAAATGGAGGCCTCTATGGAAACGGTGTCATCGTCTCAGAGTGAGTAAAACGTATCATAATCAGTTGCGATTAAACCAAAAAGTAATTGACATTTTGAGCAAAAAGACATTTTGACACGATGAAAACATTAGATTCTGAAAGTTTGCCCGCAATTTGGACTCGTTCCACTCACAGATTCTTCTTATTTAAAGGACCGCAAGAGTAGTTCATTTGGTCACTTTGGCTGCTCTGTCTCGTTACATATTGTAACCGTCGCAGTTAATTGTAAAGATATAATTTTCTACGCAGGTATAAGAAGGGTCAAACCATCACTGTATACGTTCATCTCTCAGCCAACCACTTGGGTACATTTAATTTCAACGCCTGCCCGCTGAAAAGTCCCACAGACTTGGAAACTGATGAATGCTTCGAGCAGTACCCTCTGCCGTTGGCCGATGGCAGCGGCTACCTTCGCAAGGTTCCGGGAGGAGTGAGGGAGTTCAAGATCGACTTGAAGCTACCAAGTAATCTCTCATCCAAACACACCGTGATCAGGTGAGAAAATGAATCGTGATCGTTCGACAATACCTGATAAGGAATTTAATAAAACAAGGAACAGGAATTTAAGAAACAAGTTCAAAATACCGTTACGGAAAACGTCGCAATAATATTCCATTAATTTCGGCTCAGGTGGAATTACCGCACGGGAAACACTTGGGGAATTTGCCCGGACGGAAAAGGAGCAATGGGTTGCGGTCCTCAGGAGACCTTCAGAAGCTGCTCTGACGTGTCCATCTTGTAAAACGGTTAGTTGGCGAGTCCGACCGTCCCGGAAGCATCTATCGACGCTCCCGAGAATCTTTAATGAGCAAAAACGGGTAATTTGTCGGATCGGGGAATGTGGGATCGGGGGATTCATGACGTTTTACTTGATGAGAACATTTCTGACCGCTTAGACCAGGACACGACTATGGACAAATGAGAAAAAGAGATATTGGCGAATACTTCCGCTTTCGTGAAGATTAATTAGACACGAGAAACCGATAGAACGTAATTAAATTCGTAAATTTGATTCGGTACTCATAAATTTGAAAGAAACTGAAAAGTGTATTCGGTTCGGTAACTTCAAAGGTTTCTGCGCTGCATAAAGCCTGCTGCTGGAAGAAAAAGACATTGTTGCGTTACTTTATCTTTTTCTCACTATGTATTGCTCCTGAAGAACAATGGGAATGTATCAGTCTTCCAATAAAATAATACAGATACAGCCGGCATTACACAGCATGGAGCGCTTTGTATCATGTTTGCGCAAAAATTTCGTCGTGTTTATCTAATAAAATAGAAAGCGAAAAATATAAAATAAAATAGAGAAAACAAGATAAAATAAAATAGAATGGAATAGAATAAAAATGAAATTGTCTAATTTTCAAGGGTTGATAATTGGTTACAAATAAAATGAATATCTATTCGATATTTTCTGAGGCATCTAACGAAAACTTCCTATACTCCTTCTAATATCCAAACTTCCTATAAGAATTTTAAAAATGCAGCTGATTACAAGAGCGACACAAGAAAATATTTATTGATTTGATAAAGAGTAGACTCTAAGAAGATAAAAGATATTAAATGCCGATGAGCATCTTCACGCGGCGATTTGGATTGGAGAAACTGTTGAAACTTGCGGAGATCCAATTAGTAAAATTATCGCGCAAATACAGAACGTTACCTTTCATTTAGAATAAAAATGAGAGAGGAGGCAGAACAAGAGGAAAATCCACGCACATATTATGTTATTCATTATTGTTTCAAATGAAAATGCATGATGATCGTTTTGTTACAATGTGTTTTTCATAAATTGTAACTCCATGTACTATTTGTCATGTACTGTAATTTCAACTTAACACCTTTTTGAAGATCATTATATATATTTGTGAAAACATATTACATCAATATATGAACACGCCATCATAAAATCATCTTATTTTCTGAATTGAAGTGATCTCACATAATACAAAACATTTTATATAAAATAGCTATTATATAAAATAGCTTCATGACGAAATACATTTATGTGGTCACAATATCGGCTATTCAGATCTTATTGATCAGTTGCTTATACATTATGTCTTTTTTTTCTAAAGCCAAAAGTCATATATATTTTTTCCATATTATACAGGATATCCTCTGTATGATAGGACTCTTCTTTGCAGTTTTTGTGGAAACGTAAAGCAAATTAATTTAAATACAAGTCCTATAAAAATCCTATTTGCGATATTCGCAATAATATCGAGACACTAATTAAAGAAAATTTTTAAAAGATGACGCTCGATATGGTAGATGAGCTGTAATGACGACGTCTGCCGTCGTGTGCCACCATTTTGCAAATGACTACATAGATTTTTAGATATTAATTAAAGAAGATTTGTGCATATTACCGCGCACAATCATATAATAATTTTCTTTTATCAATCCGTTCTATATTTCCACAAAAATTGTGAAGGAGAGTGTTTGGGACATTCTGTATATTAATAAAATATATAAATATTTTATTTATGCACGTATATGAGTGTATGTGCGTGTATGTGCGTGTGGGCGTGCGCGCGTATGTGCATTTTGCAGTTTTGACATCGTTGAAGTTGAAACCTGTGCTTCGCGTCAGCATTGGATTAACAAATTGCTATACGAGGTATCACAGAACTGACGGAAAGCCCATACATGACGTTATTCCACGTAAAATTTTAAATCGTCCAGTTCTGTTTTTTTTTCGGAATCTGCATGAAAACTCTGTTATAGAAGATAATTGAAGCAACCCCAATATTACGAAGTCGAAAATTACAAGGATGCTGACTATATGTATTTCTCTTTCAGAAAAACGTAGCAACCATTCGCATTAGAATTGCAGATTGACGATTGAAAGAGAAATGCTTGATCTGGCTTCGCGATTGATGCCACATTCTTCGTGGATTTGTTTACCACATTCGTGGATTTGTTTACCACATTTCGTAAACTGCAATTTACACAAAAGTGACTTTCGGAACAGCAAGAATTTGCAACTCGTGTGTACGCGTGCCATCAATAATTGTTGCTTTCTCTATAAATATTGAAAGGTTCATCATCAATCGCGATTGTTACTCCGCAGAAAATTATATGTTAAATCACGGCAAGAAGTGGAATGGCGTTCGCAAAACTATTAACCTTGGCCGCTATTAATTTGCAAGAGATTTATGGCCACGAAATGATGATGGATCCTGTAAACAAAATCGGTGCCTGGAGGGAGAGATTTCCAGTATCACAAAACTACGACAATAAGGGGATCTTCTGTGGTAGGCAGTCCAGAGTAACTTGAAAATAAATCGTCGAACTTCCCAGGCGTACTCTTTGAAGTTTCCATATATATATACACATATTTCTTCTTTCTGTAAATCATCTTGATTTATCTTTATTTCGCAAAGAGGCAATAGGGTGAACACAACAGTGTATAAAGGGATAAAGTGCCGCGTGAGATGCAAACAGTAGTATTTATGATCGAAATTTTACACATTATTCTTTATTGACAAAGGTGACACGTATGTAGTTTTTACATTGTTATACGTGTTTGCCTCTGTTTAGAGAAAACGTTCAGATATGCACACATAATTTTAATGAGTTTCTTTCCTGATTTTATATAAAGATTATTGAATTATGTATTAAGTTTTATAAGTTCTATATAAATATTCCTTTTCAAGAAGAAACGATAAAAAGAAATGTTTATTACTCAAGAAAGTTACACTATTCTTCTTTTGTAAACCTCCTCGATCTATCTTCACTCCTCAAAGCGGCAATCAGACAAACAAGAATGTACGAAAGAATAAAGTGCGTCGCTTGTAAAGTGCAAGTGCGGATTTTTGTGATCGAAAACTAGATATAATTATTGTTAAATAATAAAAATAACGACATATTTGTAATTGATATAGTGATAAAAAAGGAAAAAATAAATTCCAAACTTCAAAATTGCGAATTGATATCAACATTTATTATTTGGTTAGATACAAGCGGACTTTATTTAAAAATAATTCTGCATCACAAATCGTAGCACAATACACTGAGATATTTAACATTAACGCCTCGAAAATCAAAAATTATTCAAAAATCTATTCTTAAATAAGTAAATTTTGCCAACATATCACTAACAATTAACTTTGTCAGCCAGACAAATGCATCGTTTGGGTGACTTAGCGACAGAGAAAGTGCATCCATTGAACAAAATATGACAGCAGTTTGGACTTATTTAACTCGTAGATTTTCTTATCTAAAGAACACCGCTACAAGAACAGTCTATTTTGTTCCTTGGTTGGTTTGCCTCGTTATAATCGCAACTGTCGCAGTTAATTGCAATGATATATTTAAACAGAGAGCACAACCTACGCGAAAAGATTTCTTAAAGACGCCCTGTTCCATTTCTTTTAAATATCTTTGGATATCTTTAGCATATCTTTGCGCTACCTGGGATAATTTTCTACGCGAATATCAGCCGTCATCAATGTGATTATTCATTTCTCAACAAACCACGTAGGTTACATCAAATTCCGTCTTTGCGCGCTGAAGAATTACAAAGAAACCGAAGAATGTTTCATGCGGTATCTTCTGCCGTTGGTTGATACCAGCGGCTACGTATTCCTCGTTTCATAACAGACCGGGAACTACCATGTCGGACTGGTCCTGTCGACGGGTGTCGCAATCAATGCGTGCTCAGGTGAGAAGACGAAACGTGACTGCTCGATAATGCTAGATGAAGAATTTAACGAGTTCGGAATATCTAACTACGGAATACGTCGTAATAATATATTCTGCACTAAGAAAGATTATCCAATAAAAAATTAACAAATGGATATTTCTGATCAAAGTTCCGATGAATGTTTGTATCCAATCAGGAAACATTTGACGAGAAATATCGGTTCATAATTTTTTGATTGGTTTATCTGATAAAATGTCATTAGGATCGGAAGTATCTAATAAAATTTAATTGGATATCCTGCTCGGATTAACCGGAATTTGATCGAAAATATCCGCTTGTTAATTTTGTATCAGATAATCAGTGTGTCAATTTCGGTTCAAATGAAATCCGCGCCGGAAACAATCGGGGAATTTGCCCGGACGGAAGAGGACGCATGGGTTGCGGTCTTCAGGGGACCTACAGGCACTGCGCTGACATTTCTATCTTGCCGAGAAGCGGTTAGTCGGCGAGACCGACCGCCCCGGAAGTGCCCGTCGATGCTCCCGAGAATCTTCAATGAGGAAAAGCGGGTGATTTGTCGGATCAGGAAATGTAAGGTTTCACAACGTTTCACTTGACGAGGAAGTTCCCGACCGCTTAGACCAAGAATCGACTATGGACCAACAAGAAAAAGAGATATCGGTGAACATTTTCGCGTTCACAGAGTATGACGAATTAATCACGGAAAACCGATAGAACGTATAATCAGATTCGTAAATCTAATTCGGTACCTACAAGCCCGAAAGAAATGGGAAAGTGTATTCAGTTCAGCTACTTCGACGCTACCCAGGGCTCGTTGCTAGGAAGTACAAAACTTCGTTTGCTATTTTACTTTTGTGAGCTATAAATTACTTTACTATGTTTTCTCCAGGTGATGGGCTTTACTACATTTTGTCACATTGTTGCAAATAAGGTATTGTTCCTAAAGAGATCAGCGGGGAGACAATGGTCTAAATAAAGTCTAATGGAATAATACAAAGGTGACCGGTATTAGAAAGTATGTGGAACGCTTTGCATTATGTTGGCATAAAAGATTTGTCGTATTGGTGCCAAATAAAGTGAAAAAAACGAAATAAAACAGAAAACGAAATTACCCAATTTTGAAAGATACATAATCGCTGCAAATAAAATAGACAACATCGACTCGATATTTTGTCTTAGACATCTAAGGTGGACTTTCTATTTTCCTTCTAATGTTCAAACTTTCTACAAGAATTTAATAGAGAATTGACAAATCTTTTGCACTAACTTAATAAAATATTCGTATAGTTGCTGATAATGATACATATTATAATTTCCGACATTTCCAATATAATCTGATATATAATATGGCGGACATTGTCGGAATTTCGAAATAAGGGAGAATTTCCGTGTTGACGTCACGATTACAAAAGCGGATCTGGGCATTTCCAGCGGCAATGCCTCGATAAATTGGACATTCCGAACGGTTTCTCTATTCGGAAGAGGACCTTCTGAAATCACTGATGCGTCACCACATAAAGAATGTCTCAGAAGAGACGGTGAAAGTACGGCTGTCTATTTTTTTACCGCGTCGTCATCGAGACAGCCGACACGAGATCAGGAGGGCCAAAAATCCGATTGCTTCCTAGCAACGTTCACTCGCGCCAGCCAGAGGCTAGCCGGAGGCCAGCGGCTCTGTGCTCCGGTGGATACCGTAAAGCAAATCAGGAATTACGGTATATCACCGCGCCAACACGCGTGACGTCGAGCAAACGCCATGGATTACTCCACAGCGTCGTGGCAATTTTTCCCCTAATTTCCACGAACAACATTCGCAACTCGCGCTCTTCCCCAGGAGGTCTCTCCGACGACGTGGCCAGCGTGCGCCCAGGTACTTATAGTGCACCTACGGCCACCGACCCGCGAGCAAGGTGAGTCGGGCCGTACTCCAGCTGGCGGTAGAGGACGCACGCAAAGAGCCTTGTATTGGCTTTCCAGGTTCGTCGTCGTCGGAGGTGGTAGCGGCGGCGGCGGCGGCGGCGGAGGCGGTGGTACCACCACCTCCTCGGCGGAGGGGAATCCCGCTCACTGCTGTTGCAGTGCACTTCACCTCCGGCCTCGGCACGGATCGCGAGCACGGAGGCGAGAGGGCCAGTCGTGCGGTCGCTCATCGTCGGTGTGTTGTACGTGTGTCTCTAGCAGTGTCCCCCGCTTGGTGTTTCGAGGACTGCGCGCAGAACTCACCGCGGTCCCTCCGAGACCCGTCCTCCACCTCCTCTCCCTTTGCTCCTCTCACGTGCGCACACACACGCGTGATACACGCGCGCACACAGGTGCAAACAAGTACATACGGAGTGGACCACTCTCTCTCTATCTCTCCTCGTCTACCCCGTACTTTGAAACCCGTTCCAGTCGGCTACGGGCTTGTCCGTTGTTCCCGCGTTGTTGCGACCAGCAGCTCGCCGAGGAGGTGAACGCGCAATTCGCAATTGGTCCTAAAACCCGGAGCGGTTTTCGCGACTTCCCGGCGAAGAGTCGCAGCCGGTGAAACGGTTTGCGCGCGTGAAACGTGCGTTGTGCTCGTCTCTGTGCGCGGCTCTGTGCAGAAGAATGCGGTAGGATGCGTATCCAGGAAAGATGCTTCCTGCTGGCGGTGGTGGGACTCTGCCTCCTAGGCGGGGTCGCCTACTCCTTGACGATCGTCGACGCTGAGACGCGGATCACCACGACGCCCGGTGAGTGCCTCCTCCGGGAGGTATAAACCTGTCTTGGCTTATAGAGTAGCGCTCTGGTGCTAAAGGATGGTCAGCCGGGAGAAAAGCCCGCGTGTGATAGACGTCGCGAATTTTTCATGCTCGACGAACGGTCGAGGAGGCATTTCGCGCGCCGTTGAAAATTCGTGCCCCGAGACACCGCATCCTCTCCGGACGCTCAAGCGCAGGAATGGTCGTGGAAAATGGAGGCACGATTATGTAAATTGTTAGAGCGTAAGATAGTATCGGATAGAAACCTCGGCATTCTTGCGACGAAGAAGTCGTGACGCGATTACCACCTTGCGCACGGCGCGCCAACGGGAAGGAATGACGAATACCTAGGGAGAGTTGTCAGACCGTGACAAAGGACGCATCTGAATTAGCTTGATATCGAGAGATATCTCCTCGAGTTTCCCCCGAGTCCCCGAGAACTCGTCGAAAGAGCGCCTCTACCATGCCACTCCTTGCGAAACAAAGAACGATGAAGAAGCAAACACCTCGATACCTAATGAGCAGCCTCGGTAATGCGACGCGATGGACAAGATGTAATAAAGCTCGCGCCGCGAGTATGAAATTCGCAAATCAGCTCCGCCGTCGTGTAATCGTTCGTAAATGTTGCTCTGACAACCGCAATTTCCTCTGCGGGATGGCGCCATGGAGGCGCTCATTACAGTCACCTACGATGAGAGATTTTTCCAGCGGAACCCGCGCATTCTCTTGCTTGCTCAATGGAATGACTACACGTCGATCCAAGTGGAACGTTATTCGTTCCATTGTCGGCTGCAAAATTGAACGTTATTAATTGAACGTGACGCGCCATTACGGCGATCAATATCACAATTCGGTCGAATCGTGCGGAATAAATGTCACGGCTCGTTGAATCACACGGCTGTGACAAATTTTTCAACAAAAGGGAGGGAGGAGAAGCCGTAAAAGCTTCTTCAAAGAGGATACTTTTTGGAAAAGTTACGTTAAGATTTTCCTCAAAAATGTTGCCCTCAAGTAGTCCGATGAAATTGCACGAATTAATTCGTTAAATAACAATTAATTCACTTCGCGTGTAATACAGTCGGGCCCCTTCGCGGGCCCCAGTAATTTGTACGAGTCTTCTCCTTTCGCGCTTCTCGCCGACCCGGTGAATGCCGTTACTCGTCCACTCGACACTTCTTGACTCCGTTATGCTTTGTGACATAATTAAAAAGCGATATTATTAGCGCGACACGCCCATATCACCGCAGGCGACGGAGCTAGAAGAGCAAACGACAAACCAACCGTTTGTCAACATGATCTGAACTGTTCTTACCAATCTGTCAACTTAAATGTTTCATTCATCGTGGATATTTTCTCTACAGTTAACGCACTTGCACTCGTTCCCGAAGAGCTTTCTAGGAAATGCTACCTCTTCATTAACTCTCCACTGGTATTACCTCAGTTTCCTCTAGTTTCAACTATTTTCCCAATATATAAAAGCCGATTGAAGCACGGGAAGGTGGCTTTAAAGCTAAATGTTAAATTCAACGTGCCACGTTGGCTACAGCTCTAAATCTCAAACGCGAGTGGAAAATCTAAAAACACGAGCGGCACAACCGGTCTTGGTGACCGGACCGATTCGTATCAATTATTTTAACTTGAGCAATCACGAACGGTTGCCGCGATGCTGCCGAATAAAACGTCGGCGTTCCCAACAATTCGACGACAGATTCGATCCAGGCGCGCGCTCGAGCTGCCTTCCGCTGGATGTGAATTACATCTCAATGCGAGAGCATTCTCTTTCTCTCTCGCCACGAGTCCAATCCCACGCGCGGATCGCACGCAATCCGTGTCGACACACTTCTCATTCACACGGAAAGAAAAGATTTGACGAAATTAATCAATTTCTTCCCTTCTCATGGCGGTCTCGTTAGGCCGAAATTAATGTTTTTTAATTACGCGCCTCAGAGCTCTATCGTGTTGGTTTCATCAGTGCTATCGTGCGCCCGGCGAAATGGCCCGAGTTGTCGCGTGCAGCTTGAAGGAATCCACAGTGAGGAGAAGATATCTGGACCTATGAATACATAAACGAAGGAGAAGGAAAAGAAAAAGAAGCAGACTACGCCTTCGTTTCTTGCATGACTATACATGCGATCCTAAACGACCGAGTGTGGCTGGAGTTCATGGACGATCCGGGACTTCCGGCGACCAAGAGAGGCTGAGTGAAGCACCTTTTAACGACCTGTTCCACCTTTTCCTAACACTCGGTTAACCGCGTTCTTCGACCGATTATGCGGATCGTGAAAGTCAGTGAATTTGAACAAAACAAAAGCAGCAACGCCTATCATCACACGGCGGTTGATCATTGCGTAAGCGATTCCTTACTTTCGATACCGCGATTTAGCGATTGCATTATGCAAAAGACCCAACGCGATTTCCTCTAAGACAGTATCAATTCGCCTCACAAGTAATTGCAGACTGAACAAGCACAAAAACTATGCATAAGCTGTACGTCTGACAAAAAAAAAAGAGAGGTGCGGAATAAATAAGATACGCAGACGTAATCTCCTCTGACTTGTATGTAGCACACTCAAAGAAAACTTAATCTTATTCTTAGTGGATATGTATGACCTCATTTGTATGACCTCAAGAGGATTCCTTGAAAATCAAAAGGAAAATATTCTAATGCTCATATGAGAAATTCCAGTTCCAAGTTCTTGCTGAAAGAGCCTTGAAGTATTAATCGGAAATCTACTAAATATTAGTCTAACTTTTTTTCCCTTCGAATCAAGAGGAATATATTTAGTTAAAGCAGAATGCTTTCTTATTAGAAAAAATTTCTATTAAGAACAAATTGCGTATTGCAGATGAAAGACGAAATATCTCTAAGAATATTGCGCTTAGGATATTTTCCTTTTAAAAGAATTCTTTTGAGACCATGTATACATAAAAAAAGAACATTCTTGCTTTAAAAATATCTTTATTTTTATTGGCATATGTAAATCTTGATACGAGATTACAAAGCGTTAAAAGAGTTACTTGCATCAATACATTTCATATGCAATTTAACAAAGAAAAATATATTCTTATTGTTCAAAAATAATTTGTTTTTCATGAATGGACAACACAAAATATGGAAGAAGATATCTGTATCATAAAAACAATCATACGTATTGTACACCTTATCGTACATTATGTATTGTACTTCTTATTATTGTATTAGTTGTTATTATATACACTGGAATATTATAGTATGCAAATAAAATTACAACATTGGCGAAGACTTAAAAATTCTCCTCACAAAATTGTATATCATCTCTATATGTGACAAGGTTTGTTAATTTAAATATATTAATTTTGAGCGAATAATAATTCTTTTCTGTATAAGAGGATATCCTGTATTAATAAGATTGTAGTTTTCTGAGTGCAGAATATATATTGAGCGCATTACTATGCGTTATAAACAACAAACAGATGCGCAGAGCAATGAATGGCAGCATGAAGTTGCTCGAGGTTGCGCGAGAGATTGCGTCGAACGAGAAGTCGAAAATCCAGATGTCACGGGCGGTTTTTTCAAAGGTCATCCTACTGCCGCCTGCCGTTGGTCTCTTCGTCTATCAGGAACTGCGCTACAACGAAGCATACCGAAATACCGTTTACCGGAATGGCCGGCAATTACCAAACATTAGCGAGATATACCGTAACTCGCTCGCCGCGATTTCGCTCGTCGGAATGCAATATGCATCGGGCAAATAGAATACGTTGGACGACGACCGGATGACCTTCGGCGCGGCGGATAGTTTCGTTCTCGGACCAAATGGGCGCACCTCGCAAGGAGGATCTCGCTTCCTCCTGGGCGGGTGAATAATACGGAGGAGTTCCGGCGGGTTTTGTTTATTCAGCGGGATTTTATATTCTCTTTCGCGTCGCTGCAAGGGGATCCCGACCCGAAGCTCGCACGCAAAAATGCGCAATGTCAAGAGGCAGAAAACGCGAGAAATAATAATTCCCCGCCCTGTCCTTGTTCGCGCTCTCGCGAATCGTCGCGGAATCGGCCGAACACGCACCGTGTCCGGCGAGAAACTTCTTCTGGGACACCCCGTACACGAGTATCCGTGAAAAGGAGACCGCCGCCTACTTACGACGTCCTTATAAAGTAGATTCTGTTAGTCGAACGCGTCAGGTGTATCCTCGTGACGAATATCGCGTTCGTGCGAACCGGTCGAACCGTTATGGCTCGCCATTCATAGCGCGATAAAATTTACCAAGAGCCCCGCTCGAAAATATTCGCGAATGGATGTTCGAGTCCCCGCCTTTACGATAATTGCGAATTAACGATGTAATCGCGACTATCCGTCGCGCTCCTAAAGGGAGTGAGTGCAACGGAGATAAACGGGAAAAGAGCGGGATCTCTCTCTCTCTCTTTTTCTCTCTCTCTCTCTCTCTCTCTCTCTCTCCTACTCTCTCAGTTATCGCAGATATTATTACTCAACCTGTGTTGTGGGAGATACTTATTCCATATTAATGCACGTCACGTTCATTAAAACGTTCCACGCGTATTATGTGGAACAATCGCATCTTAATTTGCAACTTTCTTCTCGATAATTTGATCAATGTAGTTTCTCTCTCTTTCTCTCTCTTTCTCTCTCTCTCTCTCTCTCTCTCTCTTTCTCTCTCTCTCTTTCTCTCTTTCTCTTATGAAAGTTTATTTAGGCAAAACATTTGGGTCTCGTTTCTCGGACATTGAAATACATGCGTGTAATAATTGAGAGTTTTTATTTCATATAATTGAGTTTAAAATTTCTTTCGCGCAGAGAGGAGCAGACGAGGAGAGGAGGAGAGAAAAAAAGAGAAAACAGATAGATTTAAAAAACCCATATATAAATTTTTAAATGTTTTCATTTGAAAGTTTTCTCAATTTCATAGTTACCCGATGCGAGTACGTTGCATTCATTAAAACACTCCACGTACATTATATGGGATTATCGCACATATGAATTTGTAATTTTCTT